TGAAAGGAAGGACAACCATTACATGATAGATTACATCCTACATTTACGAGAAATATATCGCCATAAAGTAATAAGATTATGGTGTTTTGAGAATATATTTCGATTAAGTGTTGACAGACATAAAAAGTAAATCGATTGATAGGTTTCCCTTACAATTCACAAGAAGGATGAATGATGTGACGTAAGATAAACAATAGACGCGTGTTACCTCCACGGGGCGGTCTGACTCGAACGAACACATACACGGGGCCGCCTGACTCGAACGAACACATATTCGGGGCGGTCTGACTCGAACGAACTCAAACACGGGGCCGTCTGACTCGAACGAACACATACACGGGGCGGTCTGACTCGAACGAACACATATTCGGGGCCGTCTGACTCGAACGAACACAAATTCGGGGCCGTCTGACTAACGAACACAAACACGGGCCGTCTGACTCGAACGAACACATACACGGGGCGGTCTGACTCAACGAACACAAACACGGGGCGGTCTGACTCGAACGAACACATACACGGGGCGGTCTGACTCGAACGAACACATACACGGGGCGGTCTGACTCGAACGAACACATACACGGGGCGGTCTGACTCGAACGAACACATATTCGGGGCCGTCTGACTCGAACGAACACAAATTCGGGGCCGTCTGACTAACGAACACTTTATACGACTCAAAAAGGAATAAATTAGTAACGCTTATGGTAGAAATAAGTTCAGTTAAGAGCAATATTAACGATTTTCATTTTGTTTTTATCTCTTACACCTTTTATTAGCTGTTGGAAGTTTGAAAATGTGTAACGAGGGAGGTGAGAAGAGAGAGAGAGACGGAAAGATGGATATGTAAAAGACACAGATAGACAGACAGACAGATAAAGTGATATGTAAGAGAGACTGACAGAGAGAGTGCCAGACAGATAAACTGGTATGTAAGAAAGAGAGAGAGAAAAAAATAAGAGTGAAACACACAAATAAATATGCATGAAAGGGAGAGAGAGAGAGAGAGAGGGGAGGGGGATTAGGGTGTGGATGGGGTGACCAGAAGGTAAAATCTACGAGCCTGCCAATAGGCCCTGAATTAAGATTGGAACGCTACTGCCATAAAAACCCTGGCACCCAGGCCCCGCCCGTCCCTTATAAGTCTCCAGGCACTTTCCGCGGGGAGGTGGTCGTAATGTAGAGATTATTGCTAGTGAAGAACTCCCCCACATGATGTAATACTCCCCCACATGATGTAATACTCCCCCACATGATGTAACACTCCACCACAGAATGTAACACTCCCTCACATGATGTAACACTCCACCACATGATGTAACACTCCCCACATGATGTAACACATGTGTAACACTCACATGATGTAACACTTCACATGATGTAACACTCCCCCCACATGATGTAACACTCTACATGATGTAACACTTCACATGATGTAACACTCCCCACATGATGTAACACTCTACATGATGTAACACTCTCACATGATGTAACACTCCCCACATGATGTAACACTACATGATGTAACACTCACATGATGTAACACTCCCCACATGATGTAACACTCTACATTATGTAACACTCTACATTATAACACCCCCACATGATGTAACACTCCCCACATGATGTAACACTCCCCACATGATGTAACACTCTATGATATAACACTCCCACATGATGTACCTCACATGATGTAACTCACATTATGTAACACTCCTACACATGATGTAACACCCCACATGATGTAACACTCCCCCATATGATGTAACACTCCCACGATGTAACACTTCACATGATGTAACACTCCACCACATGATGTAACACCCCCACATGATGTAACACTCCACAGGATGTAACACTCCACCACAGGATGTACACTTCACATGATGTAACACCTTCATATGATGTAACACTCCACCACAGGATCTTTACACTCCCCACAGGATGTAACACTCTCACATGATGTAAAACTCCACCACAGGATGTAACACTTCCACCACAGGATGTTTACACTCCCACATGATGTAACACTCCCCACATGATGTAACACTCACCACAGGATGCAACACTCCACCACATGATGTAACATTCCCCACATGATGTGTAACACTTACATGATGTAACACTCTACCACAGGATGTAACACCCCACATGATGTAACACTCCATCACATTATGTAACACTTCCCAACATTATGTAACCCCCCACATAATATAACATTCCCCACATGATGTAACACTCCCCCACATGATGTAACACTCCCCCACATAATGTAACACTCCCCACGTGATGTGACACTCCCCCACATAATATAACATTCCCTCCACATGTAACTCTCCCCCACATGATGTCACATTCCGCCCCACAAGATGTAGCAATTATGCGTTTTGTCTTACTTTTTAAATTATGTTAAAGTTCTTGATAATTTCGTTATTTCTCATTTATTTTTATATATTTTCTCGACTCTGTATTCTTAAGTATGTTTCGATATTTTCAATACTTCATTCTGAATCTCAAATCTTTATTTCTTTCTCTGTATCATATCTCAAGACAGTATTCTATTTACTTATTGCTTAATATTATCATTACTTCTATTATATATACTATTATGTGTCAATTTCTTAGATTTCCTTTCTTTCACTAATTCACTTTTTTTACATTTTCTTTGGTGTTTACTTCGTACACATTACATCCTTCTAGCTGTACTTCTGTTATTTTATTTTAACGTAATGTTCTTCAAGTTCTTTGCAATGTCACTGTTATATTTTCACGAATCGAGTGATTTAGTGGATAATACTGGATAATTGAGGGAGAGAGAGAGAGGGTGTTGGGCCGTGAGTGTTGGAGGTTTAAGTGGTTGGCGTCCGCTGAGAGGAGACTTTTTTTTTTTTAGAGAAAGGAGGGGTGAAAGAAGATTAGAGGTGAAGGAAGTTATAGTTCGGAAATTGAAGAAATTTAGGAGGAGGTAAGAGAGGGCGGGCTGACCGCCTTGCTAAGCTAACGGTATGTTAGGGTTGTGTCATGGGTTAGTTATTGTCTGTGGGTACCGGCACTAGACAGCCTACCCTGTCCCATATATGGGTGCTTTAAGGGCCTTATTTCATATTACGCCAACCCTACTGGCGGATGCTGGTCTAGGGAGGTTGTCTATTGCCTGGCCGTACAGATCGGGGGTGGTAATGGACCTTTTGAGATTTGGTAACTTTTTGGGAACCATGTATGGTTGTTGTCGTTATCTGGTGGGAGTCTTTGAAGGAGTTCTTGCTCTGATCGTTCTATCCTTTGCCAGACTCTGCTGGCCAGGGTGTGCAGCTGTGGAAGGTTGGGTCATGAGTGAGGTAGAGAGATCGGGGGGCTGGTGGGGGAGATAAGTGAAAGGGAGAGGATGTATGTATTTAACACATGTTAGTGACACATTGGTGACACTTGGCAAACTGGACACTGACACAACAAGGGGGACATAGATACATGGGAGAATTACACACACACTGCCTCGATAACTTCGCCTGGTTACATCACTTATACCGATATTAACTTACCAGTAGTACCTCTTCATACTATGAGCACCATCTCCCCTTGGACACCTCCCCTCTGGCCACCTCCCCTCCCCTGGCCACCTCCCCTCCCCCTGCCACCCCCCAATTACCGCCAGACAGTTGATCCTGGCACTAATATCAGTGTGATATAACCTGTCCTCCCTCCCAGAGTAGGTCACTGGCTGTTGTCTTAATGGAGTCGCAATTTTTCGCTGAAGTTTCATCTGTTCCGAGTATGTCTAGATTAATATACACCACTTATATGCTGTGAAATATATCTGCATAGATCTTTGGGATAAACATCTGAAACACAGTACAAACATATTTCAACTTGAATCATCTGAACATTATCCCTCTCGGCTTATTTCACCTCCAGTTTAACTACCCTAAGGATAATCTAATCAAACCTAACCTATCATAACCTAACTTGACCTAACCTCAATCAGAATACCGTCTTTATATCTGAGGGTTGGCGACCACAGTCCTCCACTATAAACGTTCTCGGGCTTTTTTTTACCAATCCTCTAAGGTTTTGTATCTCTCTGGGGACCCAATTTTTTTTATTTAATTTATCCATCCCAGTTTCTGCCTTCCCTTAACCTAACCGAACCTAAGTAGTGTTTGGGTGTTTAATCATCAGGTGAAATAAGCCAGGAGTCTAGCCTGCAAGTGATCTGAGTGTGAGATCAAGAGCAATTAGAATGTATTAAAGAGTCTCCTCTCTCTCTCTCTCTCTCTCTCTCTCTCTCTCTCTCTCTCTCTCTCTCTCTCTCTAGTGAGACATGGGACATTGAATATTGAGGATAAGACTATATACTCGTTCCACCCCATATACTGTAATGTATTTATAAGTGAAGTGAAATTGACGTAGAGATAGATAGATAGATAGATAGAGAGAGAGATAGAGCCTTTTTAATCACACTTTTACAATATATTTAGTCAGGCGAGAGAAGCAACAGTCCCGGACGCTGATGAAGGAACCAGTCAGGAAGGTTAAGTTGTTGTTGCTAACTTAAAATGTATTTCTACTACTCCTCCGCCTCTTTTTCATTCGTTTCTACCTCTTTTTCGTCTTTGTCTTCTTCTTTTCGTCCTTCTGCTCTTCTTTATTCACGTTCTCCCCCCCCCCCCGTAATTTGGGTGTTAGATATTAAATTCTTTCTCTTAATTTTTTTTTGATACTCTGGTTGTTGCTTTTTCATCAGCAGGGATCCACAGTTCAATTATTTTTAGTAAGTAGTAAAGTTTGCATAACATTTGTCTATTATTAACAAGATGCAATAATAAATATGTATATCGTTAAGTCCAGTTGTATGATGGTCAAGTATGGGGTTTGAGTTTCATGTTTCAATTATAGTAGTATTGGTATAATTTTAGTTTTATATAGTTTCACTTTCACCGTGGTTATATTATTGTCATTATTATTGTTATTATTATTATCATGATTTATTTTGACTGGCGGAGCGCAGCGAAGGAAAGGCGAGGTAAGGCTTGCTTTATGTCTGTTTGTTTGTTTGTTGTTTATTTGTTTATTTGCACGTTCATGTGTGTGTGTGTCTGTCCGTGGGTAACATCATGACATCGGCCACATGACCCATAATAGTTCAGCTGAGACACCAACTCGGCTCGCTCATATCTCTTACCCGTACATGTTTCCTCCTCTTATGTGATTTTGTTTCTCCTCTAAACTGAGTAAATTTTGAGAAAACAAATGTCTAATATTAAAAAATTCTTGCAAAAATTGACAGACGTTTTTGTGAAATTTTAATTTAAGTCTGACGGCCACCAGTTTGCATATTTGCAAGAATTTGGTGTTATTTGTATTCTACAATATATTTTTTGGCGATTTTTACGAGAGTTTGGTATTGCTGAGAATTTACATTTCAGACAATCCACACTTGTACGTTTACATTTGAATGCGTCTTTTATTTGATTATTTTTATCATCATTGTTTTATTGTCGTTAGATGTACTGTATTTTTATTATTATTATAATCTTGTGGGGCTCATTGACGGTAATGAGCGCATAATGTTACATGCTTGTGTGGAAGAAAACTGTCTTCTCATCGACCGACCGACCCCGACCTATGGCCCGACTTCATTGAAAATCGTCTTGTTGATAAATCTTAGCTATGGGTGTATCTCGCCTTCATATTATTTTATTGTTTGTTTTAGAGTGTGCAAAAATACTACACAATTATTTTGTGAAGAGAGAGAGCGTCTAGCAACTAAAAGATGAAAATAAAACTTGGTCGCCATCCAAATTAATGAATCCTTTCCAAAAACTAAAATTCAAGTTAGCGAAACTCTTCCAAAATTGGCCAAAAAAATCGAAATTTCAATTTGAATAGGAAATACGTAAATAATGGCCAGTAAAGCCACTAAGGGTAAATTAAATTTTCCCGTGTGGGAAAATAAAAGTTTCTCGTCAGAAGGAAATTCTTTATAAGTGTTTTGCATAGATGCAATAATTACCAAATTTGTTCAAAATATTTTTGCTAATTTCTGCAGGAATTAGACAATGGCGTGAATTTAGATTTTGGGTTATTAACAAAGTCGCGTACGTTCAAATGTGAATGTGTCTGTATTTATATTAATTTAAGCTTTTCTTAGTTCCACAGAGGTCATATTATTTTCGCTCTCACTTTCAGTTACCAAGGAGCTCCTAGCAGCAGGGATGAGAGGCGGGAGGGGGTGTCAGTAATAACGCCTGGGCGGAGAGTTACGTCCAACAAATGCTCCTCTTTGAGTCCTTAGCCAGGTGCCTCTGTAGTAGTCAGCTCCCCTCCTCGTGGTAATGTCTAAGATGGCTTATCTTGTTGGGAATATAGTGAGGCTCCAGTATTTTCATGGAAGGTTATGTGGATCCAAGGAACGACTGGCCGCGACCGTTACCGCTCACTGCAGTCTCGCCTACCAACAGTTTCTTCTTTTTAATGTACTTCAGTTAGTCTCTTCTACATTTGTTGATTTGAAGTAATCCCTCGCGAAGTGCTAGGTCGGGCGAGGGTTTTAAATCATTATCATCGACTTGGTTCAACAAAGGGAACAGATGAGCTTGCGTGCTTCCCTAAAGCCTAAACGGCTGATTTACCTGATGTGATCCATCAAATTAAGTTACATCAGTTCCTTTAGTGATTTATACCAAAATCGCTTTTCTGATGTTCGTGTATGCAGTAAAACCTCAGTTATTGGGAACGACTTCACTCTGCGAATTCTTTAGTAACTCCCGCGACCTCGGATATAAACATGCCCACCCACTCGCAATAAATTGACGAAGCTCCCGTAAAGAATATCCCGGTATGTCGTGTTTTGGGATGAAGAAAGGTAAGGGGACATGAGTTTCTGTAAATTGGGGTTGCAGACACTGAAAACCAAGATATTGATATAGAAATCTGGGGATGCAATTCTTACTGTGACCATTGTCGACATTTTGCAACAAATATAACCGGTGATATTAATCCCAGTGTATCCAGTTGTGTATTAGCATAGTTTTTTACACTATGTATACCCCTGAGGCCTGAGTTCCAGGTGAATATCTAAGCTTATTTGATCAGTTTTGGACCACATAGTTCTGTATACTTTTGTTAACGACTCTTAGAACCTAATGACTTTAAAATTTCTGTCCAGAGATTCACATAGAAAATGATGTACAATATATACTTAAACTGTATTTATAATTAAAGAAAAATTTTAACACATAATGAAAAGGTCTGTTTCACTTGGTAGACTCATATGTATGTAGGGTGTAAAACAGCAGTTTCTATGACTTTGGTAATGTATTTTTCGCTGGACACGAATAATGAGGAGTCTTTCGTAAAACAGTCTAACACACTTTTACTGGGTATCAAAGACACATGTAAACGGAGGCTAAGTCGGTCCAAAAGAGAGCTGCAGAACAGTAACCTTCCCTGCATAATATCGACAACGATCTCCATAACAATTAAGAATCCCAAATTACTACTACTAAATCTCAGCCTTTAGTGTCCACAACCCGTGTTCTTTTGCTTCTTTTCATCCTTTGGGAAGAGCAAACTGCATACAAGGACTTTTTAATGAAAGTTTCGACAGTTTATTTCTGCACAGAACCACGAGTGGCTGGGCTTGCTTCTTTCTGCGGGCCACACGAGCATTGATCAGTAACATCTCAGACAAATTTTCAATTGATTCACTATGTATAAAGACAATACAGGTATCCAGTGTCCGACGAACCACTAATATTCTCTTGAGTGGAATCGTATATCCTAGAAACCCCGGTGAAGACAATTGTGGGCGTGTGTTTAATATCACACACACACACACACACACACACACACCGTTCTGCAAATACAAGTACGTATACCTTCACATCACCATTCGTTACAGGCCTTCACCCGCCATACTCTGACACCCCTCGTCCTTTCCCTCCATTTACCCCCATGTTATTCTCTCAGTCAATAGCAATGCAAAATCCATGTCTACGAGTCAACATCTTGGTTCTACAGTGACATGGTGTGTAAGTGTTACGTCGTGACTGACTGATGACACCCTTCTCTTCCCTCCTCCTTTGCACTCCTCATTTCTTCCCTTGTCCCATCTACCTTCTCCCCCCCCTTCCCTTCCCTCTCTTTCCCCTTCTACGAACAATAGTAAGATTATGATATACAATTGTTCCCAATAAATTGTAGCGATAATATGATATAGTTGTGGCCAGAATTAGTCGAGGATACAGACACATCTGTCAAGTTAGTAACACTGTACCCATACTGGAACACTCAGCATGTAAACTTTGTGATAAACCTTTAAAACATACACTTGAACACTATATTATTGAATGTGGAACTGTCAAAGACTTCAGGCCACCTGGCTTATTGTATCATGAACTTTGTAATTTCTACATTGAATCAAGGGTGCTTGAGGACATTCTTGCTGTTTATCCCAAATTTGCTAGCCCACACTGATTAGTCTTCAATTAGAATATGACGTCCAATGTATATGAACCACTGTCCTGCATGGCAGTGAACAGCGACATCAACCCACATGACTCTGACCTATTTATACTGTTAATGAATATGATCTATTCCTTTGTGTATGAACCTCTGTCCTGCGTGGCAGTGAGAAGTGATACCACCCGCAGTGTCAAGACCTGACTGAATTACTCAGAAAAGGCCAACTGTACTCCAAGCTTTGTCAATAAATTAGTTAAACTTAAAGTAGCGATAAAAATAAATTTAAAATTATCCCGACTTGGCTAAAGCGTCAGTTACTTTTTATAGCTTAATTAGTTTTCCCCATTGATATATATAATTGTGTGCTATTTTATACTTTGTTGTATATATATATATATATATATATATATATATATATATATATATATATATATATATATATATATATATATATATATATATATATATATATATATACAGAATTATGAAACAGTACGCTGGTATAACATTAATTCCTAGTTGTGAGTACATCCACAAGACGTACAGCAATGCACACAAGGCGCTGGTTGTGACAGTGGTCTCCTACAATATAAGCAACGCGCTATCGCTATTATTAATGTACTGTGTTTCCTGGTGTACAGTATATGTGTCTCGGTTTACCACCATGCCTGGAGAAATTTCACCCTCCCTCACAAGCAATGACATTTATGTGACACATTTAGCATAGGGATACACTCTGTATTTATGAAGTCAATAAACACCTCGTCTAAGGCTGGCTCAGTGACTAGACCTTCCGTTAATAAAATAATAACCTGCGCCAATGTGGTGTCAGCAAGTCAAGTTTCTACAATCCAGTTATAAGTTTATGTTTATTCTGTATATACACCCAGGGTGGACTGTTTTAATTCAGGCCGAAAAAAAAAAAAAGTAATAACAATCAGGTGGAGTCAGTCGGTTTGGTCTTTGTTCAAACTTATCTTATTTACGAAGTGATGGAAGGATGATACAGGGTCAGTTTTTATTCGAGAATCCTAAGTGATTACTATATTTTATGACGTGTAATTAACAGGAACCAAAATCTCAGCAGTAATAAATCTGATCACATTATTGCGAAGAATATAAATGGTTTCATTATGATCAGACTTTATTCCTACTAATTTTTAGGTTCCAGTTTACTACACGTCCTGAAATACAGTGATAATTCAAGGTGTTTTAATGACCTTGTTTTTTTTCTTCACACACACACACACACACACACACACACACACACACACCAGGTCCGGGGTCAAGCATCTGTGTACCTAAGTATATTTAACTGATTTTTCAATGTTGTCAAAGAAAGATTAAATCGTGTAATAAGTTTATAATATACTGTACTGTAGACTTTAACATGATCGTACAATAAACCTGGAAGGAAGTGAGTCGTACAACTGTCAGTCCTCGCGCATCTAACCATCCCGGTGCTGTTACCTTATTTATACTTTACACGACATGAAGAGTTACTGTACTTTTCTTAAATATTGGTGGCTGTTGTGTATTGTACGGACTTACTTAGAATGCGTAGTAACGACTATGCCGTATTGTTGAAGTACAGACATTCATATAAGCAACAATGATTTACCCAAGCCCACTTTAATCTCTTGTGTTTTATGTGTGAATACTTGTATGTACTTGTTTATTGAGTTTCTTCAACTTAACATACATTTTGTCAACCATATTATCTCTCATTATTATCTTTTTTTCTCTGCATGAGTCATAAATGTCATAATACATTACCGTTTGTCAATCCATGTATAGTTGTTGTTCAACCCTACAGCCTGCCTCCCCCCACCCTCATAACATTACTTCAGTCTGAACTGTTTTCCACGAATCCTTCTACGCTACACAGTTCAAGCAAAATATTATTTGATGATTTAAAGTTTATCAAACACCCATAATTTGCAAATTTATTTTCATTTTTTTCCCAAATGTTCATATCGTCTTGACTAATAGTGACTCAGGTCTGCATATATCATCACCTTGTGTCATTTTTATGTTAGAGATCTTTAAATTTGTTTTAAACCTTTTTTTTTTTTTAGCCGCTGGTCCTGGCTGGCAGACCCCACTTGTTGTTGACGCTGTTTTCGTCTTATTGTGAAAGATGTTAAATGTGCATCTGTATATACATGTCGGTAAGGTTGTCCCCCGACAACAACTGTCAGATAACAACATAATGTTTTGCGTGGTAGATATAAACTCTTCCACATTAAGGATATAATAAAGAGTTATTTGATTCTGATAAAGCATTGAGTAGCGAGAGATGGAGATGAGATGTTTGGCATCACCCTACACTATATGAGGTCTGTATATTAACTGGGCCAGTAAAGTTGCTTGTGTAATACAAAGGTCAAAAGTTTCTATCCTGATTAATGTTCTACGACCTTCCTCTTACCACCTCCAACGCCCTGTGTGTTGTATTACTAGATCCTAATATTATGAAATGGAATATTTTACCATTCGTTTAATGCTCTCCAGTCTCCACATTTCTTTATTGACCATGCCACAGGTAAGAAATCCTGTACCATACAAGGTTGTACTTGACATGTAAAAAAACTGAAGACCTTCACCTTTTTGTGTTCACCTTCAACGACCGTTGTGGAGGGTGAGATAAAGGCATGTCTTTACTGGCGGCAAAAACGTGAACACAGATTTTGTGTTAAGGTCAGATTCTCAGTAAATCATGAATGGGGAATATCTGTGGCCACACTAACGATAAAAGGAATTGGTAAGTTAGTCCTCACACATATCATGATGCCTTGTGTTAATGTTTGCATCATGTATAGAACAGGATGTTAGGATACAATTATCTTCATCAAAGAAATGTTCTAATATCCATTTCCTCCAACAGGCCCGCAGTAAGAGTGGCTCCGTGGATGCAGTGCCCAAAAATCAAGCAGTGAAAGGTGGTGCCGCCCAGAAAGGAGGAACACCTTCCAAGAACAACAAACAGGTAGCCAAGCCCTCGGCCCAGAAGACCCAGGTGAAGCAGGCGCCCTCCAAGGTGCAAGGGAAGGGAGGCAAAAAGGGCAAAAAGGGCCTGAAGCATCAGCAATACGACCTTATTGTCACCATAGATCTGGTCAGTGTTGTTTGACTGTTATGTACATTATCTTATACTACACCATCCCCATAAATTCACATAATATCCTCACCATGAGTCTACATTTTTGTCATGATACTGCCTACTTTTATATTTGTCTCTCGTAAATGTCACCATTTTTCTCCTAGAAATTTTTCGTATTTATCTACTCCCTAATGACTATTAGTCACTAAAGATGCTTTACGGTAAAATCACAGATGAGATAATATTTGTTTAAGCGGCCATATTAAGTGGGAGTAAGCATGGCTCACATAGTTAGCGATGATGTAAAGTTGTAAAGCAGCAGCACTGGGTGAGATTGTGTCCCTAGTTCAAAACAACTCTGTAAAGCAGTCATTTATCGTTTTCTAAAACATGCCAGTACAGTTTAGTTGTTTTCATTGACGAGGATCAGCGAGGTCGTCATTAATTGATAATCGCTGCGCAGGATATGGCTCAGTAAATGTTTTTCTCAGTTTTCTCGGGAAAAGTGATGATCTCACACACTTCAGGGCCGTTAGTACTGAAATAGTTTAGCTTGATAAAAGACGGACTCTGTGTGCATATAATCTTACTCTGTAAATAAAATTCCTGCAAAGGTTTGTAAGTTATAATGCGAGTGTTATAGTAAAAATATTCTTAGATTACTGTAGACTCCAGAAGACCAAAGTAGCCAGCTGATGATGGTACGTTCACAGATGAATATATAAAGCGTCACGGATCACTGCATGGACAAACTTAAGCTGCTAGTTGTAAATTGTATGATCATCAGTTGTGTATTGTACTGTTGTTACCACGTACTTGTTCACACTCACAGACTTTGAATCTAAGATGATTAGATATCGAATTTCTGTGGTTTATTGTCAACTTTCATTTTATTTGTTTTATAGCCGTGAACATTGTGATCATATAGCAGAGACTTGCACAGGATTTGCTGGAGGCGAGAACGAATCTCCCCAAAATAATGATGAAATTTTTTAGGGCATGTGATGAAACATCCAAGATTGTTTCATTGCTACAAAATGTTAATTTAATTAGTAAAACTAAGGTAAACGTATACCTTTATTGGAGTAAGTAGACATGCATTACAATTAAAATGTCAAACTCAAACATCATGCACCAAACAATTCTAATATTTGTATATCCAACCAGTAAAACATCTTTAGGCGCTGATGAACCCCCCCCCTACTACCCCTTTCGGTCGAGAGCCTTCTAAGACAGCTAAAGTTAACAGGGGGGGGGGGGTCCTGTATGTCTGGATCTTCCCTTTTCGTCAGAAAATTTCAATATTTTTTCTTTTAATTCAGTATTGTACTCAGGTTTTTATGTATAGTAAAAAGTAATTACTATTGACGTCAGAATATCTGCTAATATCAAGTGCACATGGCTTTAAAATAGCCTCAAAATGCCCATGATTTAAAAATAAATAAATCTGGGGGTTTACAGCTGTTTTAATATTCCTGGATCCGCCCCTGGTTAATCATATAATTACATCACTTTGATTATTCAGCACATGACAGTGATAATATATCATGTAACAGGCAGTTACTGAGTCACTGGGCGCCATGAGGGACGCAGTGGCCGAGAGCATCAGGAGCGTCTCCTCTCCACAGCTGGACGAGTCCAAAGCAACCACTATATACTTGTCTTACCTGCATGCCCATCACATGAACATGGTTCATCCAGGTTCATTCTCGAAACACCTCAACGAGACACTAACCAGGAACAACATTGCACCTGTTGAAATAAGCAACGACGTCCCTTCAAAAGAAATCCTGAAGGCAGTAACCCACTCAACGACTTATCGACGACCTCAACCCACTCCAGAAATGGACCATGACCTCCCTGACTTAGGCAAAAGTCAGTATAACCGTAGCCCCAACGTGGCCAGTCAGTCCCCCTGGGATCACAGCTCCAACGACACCGTAAATCTCCGTGACCCCAAGACATGTACTCCCAGCGACGACAGTGACCATCGGACTGCAACCACAGTCAATGGTTGCGACCAGATGATGGCGACTTACTCCACAGAGGAACAAGACCCTCGAGCTGCAGCGTCAGTAGATTACTTCGACACGCAGGCCCAGGACCTGATCACCTTCCTGTACACGGGTAACGAGAAGTTCGAAGGCCCGCCAGTAACTGACAAGCAGATGTTCGAAGGTTCTGCTAAGAAGTTCCGGCCCTCTAGAAATGGCAGAAGCCGAGCAAACACTTCAAGCGACGCCTTAAGCTACAGTTTCCGAAATGGCAGTCGTTAGCAGGATGAAAATTGTCCAACATAATGCCCTACACTGGTCCCTTAATAGACGTAACGAACTGTCTATCTTATACTATCAATTAGACCCAGACATTACTCTGTTAAACAATACTGGCATAAAGGACGAAAGTAAGCTGATATTTTTTGACTACACTGTATACCAGAGGAACATGACGGGTGAGCTGAACGATGGTGTCGCTGTGGCCATCAGGTCACGGTTGAATCACAGAGTGTTGCTAGACTTCGAGGATTCAGTTCTAGGAGGGCAGGTGGAGACAACTATGGGACCTGTTATCATATGCACAATGTACCTACCTCCCAGACGCCCTTACTTACCCGAACAAGACCTCAACCAGAGTGTCTACAGCATGAGGTGGAAGTACAGTGAACTCAACTCTAGAACATTGTGCTTGATTTGTTTGTTGACTTGGGTATGATCATCCTTTTATAATGTTCATTTTTATGGTCGTGTTAATATATGCTCCTGTATAATAGTTAAATATTTATAATGCTAGTGTTAATATACTCTGTTATAATACATAAAAACATTTTCTGTATTAAAATCTTACGATAATATTTTATATGTCGCAGGGCGGGTTTGTGCCATTTCTTCCTAATTTGACAGTTGACTCAGTTTTTCCTGTGTCATCTTTTCATACATTTTCGCGTATAGTAACACATTGAGACAAGAGCACCAGTCTGGTTTAAAATGTTTGCTATTACTGATTTATAGATTAATACATTACTTTTTGTTTTCTAATAATCTCAACTCAAATGTAGTGCGAGTGATTAGGCAGATTTAGACAAAATATTCATGTTGTTGGTGTCTGCAGGTGGAATATGGACTAACAGATGATCTTGTGGCAGAATTTAAGGAAGCCTTCATGCTCTTTGACAAAGATGAAGATGGTTTGATCACCACGGCTGAGCTAGGAGTAGTGATGCGCTCTCTGGGACAACGGCCATCAGGTGAGCTCTATGGTTTGGTTAAGATATGAGGAAGTTCTTTATTCTGAATTAGAAACAAAAATATTCTAAAAATGGGGTGTATGGTAAATTAATTTGAGCTCTTCTTAAAAAGAATATGTAAAGGTCTGGTGGTAGGACTGTAAATGTTGAAACATTTTGTACAAATTTTAAATATTTTAAAGCGTACAGTACAATGCAGCTTTTGTGTTAAAAAATGATAGAGTAAATTTAGATGAAGGACTTGTATTTACCAGAGTGAAACATGGTAATCTATGGAACATATTTCCAATAGTCACAGGCGGTATAAGACAAAAATTTTCGTATACTAACAGTACTGTGTATCTTCGTTATAAATTCATCCTCTTTCAAACTGAAATCTTGACTCTCACTAAAAGCAATCATGCTAAAATTGTTAGCCTTTATAAGATAAATAGTGTATAGTAATTTTGTCTTTCAAGTTCTGTAAGTAGTGATCCGAGTGCATGAAGCGAACAAGGAAATTGAATGTTAAGAAATAGTTGATACTGGTGTGAGTGATTGGACCGTACAATGGCATGCCAGTATAATTTACTTTGTGTCCATCAGTTAGTGACTTCATTTTTTCTTTGCCAGAGGGCGTGAGCCAGTGACTTTAAGTGTTAACCAAATATTAACTAGATACATTGGTATGACGAAGAAAGCCTAAACTACATTGATCGGGATCGTTCTCTTAACAGTAGCACACAGACAATGGTTGCGTAGGTGTTACTTAGCGTGTAGTGTACAATGATATTTACTGTACACTATAGAGCTGCGGGCTACCTTTTGTCCATTGCAGTACTTTAGAGCGAGAACTATAAAAAAAGTTTCTATGTGATTTCGCATTTTTAGGTAAGGTTTGGTTAGGTTATGTTAGACTTAGGTATCTTTATAGACCGCACGCTATAGCAGTACCCAATGGTTGAACACAGGAATGCACCATAGAGCTGGTCATACTGTATTGTCTTAAATGATTAGGGATGCACAAATGCCCTGATGACACAGAAGAGGCCCAAGAATTGTACTGTATTCATGAATAGCCATCAAGTGATCCTGCAAAATTATAAAGAATTGATTTATGTCAGATTTAAAAGATAAGAGAGAGAGAGAGACAAAGTGGGTAAAAGGTAAGGAAATCATACACACTAAACCTTTGCCTCATAGAACCTTGTGTCATGACTGGATGGAACTATGAAAACTCAAACTACTGTTCTGTTTTTATTTCGCCATAAATGTCTCTTACCAGTTTCTGCAGTCTGGCTATTTATTATTGTTTTTTTTTAAATAATGCCGTTAAATCATCATACTCGGGGGGTTTAATCGTAATGGAGATGTTGTCAACACACCCAAAAGGTTAATCATTGTGTTTGAGGTGTTGTCATCGTACTCAAGGGGTGAAATTATTAGGGGTAATGGAGTTATGGAAAATGTGAAGTTAATATGTGGTTGTGAAGCAATAGAAGATGTTAAATTCAGAGAGTACTAATGTCACAGGTGTTAATGTTGGGATAAATAAAACATGAGGCACTTAAGTTATTGGGCAAATTTTCTATTTATTGAAAAGTTTGTGTTTGGTTTATAGTTGACCTTTCATCGGTAAATTTAAATAGTTGATAATTTAAATCACATCAGGAAGGACCACCAAATAATGTCCCTCAGAAATGGAGGCTTTTAATATTTGTTGTAATTTTCCATCATCACCATTTGAATGTTCTTATCACCAAGCCTCCATCCTTACAGAGACAGAACTGCGGAAGATGATGGGTGAGGTTGAAACTTGTTCAGATGGAATCATCGAGTTTAACGAGTTCCTTCAGATGATGAGCAAGAAGCTGAAGGATATTGGCAACGAGGAAGAGCTCAAGGAAGCATTCAAGTGAGTAGTTGTGATCACATGACGGGGGAAGAGCACAACGTAAGGAGGGGAAGAGGTACATCACCAATGGGGAGTGGGGAGAGGCCACACTTGATGAGGTAGGGAGAGGCCACACTTAGGGAGAGGCCACACTTGATGAGGTAGGGAGAGGCCACACTTGATGAGGTAGGGAGAGGCCACACTTGATGAGGTAGGGAGAGGCCACACTTGATGAGGTAGGGAGAGGCCACACTTGATGAGGTAGGGAGAGGTCTCACTTGGTGAGGTAGGGAGAGGCCACACTTGATGAGGTAGGGAGAGGCCACACTTGACGAGGTGGGGAGAGGCCACATTTAATGAGGTAGGGAGAGGCCACACTCGTTGTCAAACCATGTATCAGCATTATTGTATTACATCTCCAAACGTTAGAGAAATACGAACTCCTTAATAATGCATCCTTTCCTTCTTGCTGCCTAGGCGTCATTGAAGCTGGCACTCGTAGAGAACTGACTGCCTGATGCCTCCAAGAGTTGTAATATGTTTCTGTCCACTTCCTGTAAGCCCTTGTCCTACCAGAGGGAACTCGCTAATTACGAGTCTCGTTCCCGTATACTTCCTGCCTGTGTTGTCCAGTTGGGCGAATAACAGAACAGGACTGACCAGTTACTTACAAACTCGAGTTACTAGACAAATGCCAAAAAAGACATTGTCATTATGAATGCAGGATATTGTACTTAAAATGTAATATTTTGCTAGGATCATTCTTTGGACTACTTCAAATATACCTTAAAAATCTTATTTCCTTGGCTAAATGAAAATTCCCCAAAATCGGACCTAAATTTCACACTTCCCCATCGATACTAAGAATTCCCCAAATTTAGGGAAAATTTTCCATGTCTGGCAGGCGTACGTGAGTGCCGCCTGCCCCCAGAGGATGTCTACATATGATGTCTCAAGGCAATGATGACACAGGTCTATTACTCTGATTCATGTACACTTGGTATTAATGCAAGAAGCATCTCTAAAGATTTACATTCATATCTTAAGGTTAATGTTTATGACCTAACCAGTGTTTGAGCTTTCAGTGGACCTGTGAAATCAGTCACAAAATAGACGGATTGGACATCACATTTTCAACTGTTAAGCCGTCATCGAGCAGACGGCTATTGATAATGCACTAGGCACTACCAATGACTAATTAAAAATGGTTAATATCAATACTGTATCACAGTAATTTTAATACATGCATTCACTGATTACTTTAGCTCAAGGAAATGTAAGTCTGGTTACAAGCTGACACTTCATAGCTTCAACAGACAGAATATACTGCAGTGTAGCTAAACTGACTTACTGACTCAAATAATTTGTTTATACAAGTATTACAGTTTTCACTGCAGTTACGTACAATGGGAACTTTCAACATAATACTCAATGGATCTTGAATGTTTCAGCTAACATTAGGTTTGCATATCTTACATCTACAAGTACGAGTTCAAAAGTAAATCATAACATTACATGCAGTACACTAACTCTTTCGCTGCAATTCCCGCACTTGCCATTTTATTTTGGCTACCGCCAGGCGATTTTATTCAGCTTAGGGTAACCTCCCACAGCTAAAGGGTTTAAACATGGTATTTCTTGGGTGAGAAAACGTACATTTCAGTGGGTGACTCAAGAAAGCGTTTAGACTTTAGACATGTTTTATGTACTTGTGAGCATAATATGAATAATGAATGGTCTAGCTAAAGGTAGCTAACATGCACTATTGTAATCAGTACATCTACATGTATTTATGTGCTCCTAGAGGAGACACCATAGGGAGGTTGCAACAATAGATGTGGTGTGTGGATAATCACTGTATCACATATGGGAGGGTCTCGGGGCTCCCTGTGAGATGTAAGGTGTGAACACATTTGGAAAGTGAAGGTAACATGTATTAGGAGAGCAGTAAACTATTCCAGTGTTGCTGGATAAGGTAACGCAGAGTTCAGTATTTCCTTATTTGTTTTACAGTATTTTGTTGATGCATATTGATGATTCAGTACCGGGTATGTTTGATAGAATTTGTAAATTTTATACAATGTCTGATTAAATTTCCAGACATATTTATTTAAGCATTGATAAAGTATGCACACTATAATTTGTAATTTATTTATTTTTCGAACTTTTTGTGGTTGACTTATTGCAAAATGTTTATTTGTTTTTGGATGTTGAGATGAGGGTAATTTACTTTCTTTCAGAGTATTTGATAAGAAGAATTCTGGGTATCTATCTTCAACGGAACTACGTCACGTGATGACAAGTATGGGTGAAAAAATGTCTGAGCAAGAGGTGGAGGACATGATCAAGGAGGCGGCACCCAATGGTGATGGCAAAGTGAACTATGAAGGTAAGTCAGGTGACGACTCTCTTACAAGGCGAATATGGACACCCATACATGCTGTAGTTAAAGGTGGAAGTGTGTATAAGTCATGTATCTGTGGAATAAAATGGGATTAGACAACCCATTGGCTTCCTTTCAGGCTTTCACTGTTAAAATAGGAAAAAGATCAAATATATATAGTGCAGTATAAATGGGCTTTTGAATATATCAGAACAAGTTCCTGTGTTGTTCATACCTGAACTTGACGGAGCCAACATTTGGTGCTGTCACAACATTCTATGGTAAGTTATCCCGAGAGTTCACAACTCTTTCTGCGTGAGGGTCGTGTCATGTTGCGTCTCTGTAACAAAACATGTTGGCACTCGGGCCTTAGTTGTTGAGCGGCGGCAATTCGACAGTGATTACATAAGAGCAACGATGTAGGATTTTTAACGCTATTTGGGATTGTAGATTGAAAAATACTCTCTACTGACTGGAAGAATAGGCCAGAAGGTATAAAACCACAAAATCCTTGCCATATGACAAGGTTTATTCAGAAAATTTTAAATGAGCTCATGGCTGTGACTGACCACCCAGTGAGTGTAGTACTAGTGTGCCTTTAGCTAAGACAGTCCATAGTGACAACAGTGACCACAGTGGAGATTGAAAATTGGGACAAGCAATCAGGCACCAGTGCCTGGGAGTAGCCAAGACATAGTATTTGGTGCTACTAAGGAAGTTTTTCTCTTGTGTGTGTTTTCTTAAAGACTCTAACTGTGATTACAATCACCATTCATAGAGAGAGATACAGTGTGTATAGTGATAGTACATAAAGATAATTACGTTGATGACAGCTGGAAAAGGGAATAAAAGTGTACAGTGTAATAGTTAAAAAAAGAAAGCCGAACTGTCTCGAAGTAATTGTTGCAACCACAAAGACCGTCTTATTACTTTTTACTTTACTTTTATCCTCTTCACCACTGATCGGCTCGTTAGCTGCTTGGGCGATCGGACACGTCTCTGATTACTTTTCCTTTTCTTTTGGTGTGTGTGCTCTAAATGACTGTGATTGTGCATATGATCCACAATTCATAGCGAGATGCAGTGTTCATAGTGACAACACATAGAGATACCAATATCTCGTCGAGAAGAACTGAAGAAAAAAACAAAACAAGTCAAATTGACTTGAACGGCAACACTGGGCAAACGAGAGTGCCAGCGAGGTCTAGACCGGCATGCAGCTAAGTGATTTTTCTTTAAATATTCTTAGTCTGCCACAAAGGCATGATCACTCACACATCTTAGTTCACTTAGATTACAATTAGTAGATGTGATTATGAAGGAAGTCATCCCAGCGAGGGGATGACTTCCTTCAGAAGAAACTAAGTGTGAGAGTCCGGTAGTTGGCATCACCCCCCCCAACCCTCCTTACTCACCAGACAAGGAGGCCTGCGCGAAAGCCGTAATGGGGACTTTAAAGGGACATCGACACTAAGACACAAAAGAAATTATCACTGTAATAATAAAGATTATTATCATCATTATCAAGCAGACGATTATGATTATATCATATTGTAAACTGGGCTTAAGCCTAAGAAGATTTTTACAGAGTCTGCACCCCCCCCCCCAACAGTGACAGGTGTCAAGCACCGGTGTCCCACAGGTGTAAAGTCCGTAAAAGGAAGAGGAAAGTGTGTGATAAGGCATGAATAGGCATAGGGAATCAGGGGTTGATATGCAATTACTGCAGGGCGACATCCATTGTACATTTTGCAGGTCTGGGCTTAACAGCGTTTAAAACGGTGCTGAATGCGGTAAAGCATGAAAGCTGTTGCTGGTATTGCCCTAACTGCATAATCAAAGTAAACAAGATATTTGAAGACCATAGGGGAATGAGATACTTAGAGACAAAAATAGAGGAAGCTAAATCCGTGTTTGTTGCCAAGCTGGAACAGGTTGGGAAAGAGATCCGCGCTAAGACTGAGGAAGTAGGCGACAGAGCGGAGGAAATAATTAAGAGGAGCTATGCTCAGGTTGTAGCAGGGTCACAGAAGGTGAAAGGGAATAATGCAGGATCTGAACAGGTCCTCCGGTGGCTAGGGACTCTGCAGAAGTGTGTTGAAGAGTTGATAACTAGTAGACCTACTGGTATGGAAGAAGAGGAGAAACGGGGAATGTTCAGTTCATAAGAACAACATTATAGTGTTTGGAGTCCCTGAGAACCAGTCGGAGGAAGCTGAAACTAGGAAAACACACAAGTTGCAATTTCAGAATATTTGTGATGACACATAATTTCAGAAACTTGCAAGAGGGGTGTGGTTATCTATGCTAGGCAAGACCTTAGAGCCATCCATGTGAGGGGGGTGCTGGGAGAGGATGTTTTCGAAGAATCAAAGTAGTGTAAAATTAAACTCATTGTTGGATGTCTCTACAGATCCCCAAACTGTAGCATATTAAACCAGAGGAACTTAAGAACCTTAATTGACAATGTAACAGTGCAACACCCTAGCCACCTCCTTGTCATGGGGGACTTTAATTATGGTGACATCGACTGGAGAAATGAATCCACGCCAAAGGACGTAAATAATCCAACCACTCTTTTCATAGAAATGCTGAAAGACAATTTTCTATTCCAACATGCTAAAGATCTGACTCACTACAGAGGGGAGCAAACACCCAAACCGCGGGACCTCATCATAACTAACGAGGAGGGTATGGTGGCCAATTGGGAACACCTCGCCCCAGTTTGCACCAGTCACCATGTAACGTTGTCCTTCAGATTTAACTGTTACTTGGTTCATGACAAAACCAGGTCCAGGTTTATATACAGTACACCCTTGTTATTCGCGAGGGATAGGTTCCAAAGAATGGCACGAATAGGCAAAACAACGAATAGCAACTTATACTACCTTACTGTACTACTGTATACCTATACCAAACAACCGACCAGCTGTGGCAGCACTCATCCCCTCTTTAACTTGTCTAATAATTCAACTTTCTTTGTCAGGGTCATCACTGACTTCTGCCTTTTACATTTCACTCCACTAGCATCACTAGCACTGACACTAGGCAGTCTTTTAAGGGCCATTTCACACAGCAACACTAAAGTTTTGAGAGTACAAGACAAGATGCTGCGTGGGGTAACTCGTTGTGCTGCTGGAAAAAGCTTGCAAGCTAGCCACCATAGCCACCATCTGCTTACCGCGAATCGTTGAAATCGCGAATTGCAAACCCGCAAATGGCAAGGGTTTATTGTATTACAAAGGAAATGACGACGGGATGAGGGAGGAGACGATTAGTATACACTTGCCTGACTTACTAAGGAATAAGAATCTAGATGCTGCACTGAATATCATAGCCAATAAAGTAAACCTTTCGATCGACAAATATATACCAAACCCGGGGGTCGGCAAAGTTAAGAAGAAAACTCAGGATTTCAATTTGTGGGTTAGGACAAATGATGAGCAGGACAGAAAGTTGTATGCCAGGTCTAGGAACCAAGTAAAGTCATAGTGTAGAAAGGCTGAAAAGGAGTTCGAGAGGCAGATTGCTAGTGAGGTCAAGTCAAACCCTAAGGCTTTATACCTCTATGCAAAGTCAAAATTAAAAATGCGTGTAGGCATATCGGACCTGAGGCTTTAAGATGGTAGTTTTGCAGATTCTGACCAGGACAAGGCGGAGGCGTTGAACAATTTTTTTTTCATCGGTATTCACGAGAGGATGCGAACAATCTTCCTGCATTTGAGAAAAGACGGTTTGACACAGAGTTGACCCACATTGTGTTCTCAGACGAGGTTATGAAATATAAACTCTAAAAGCCAAAGGTTCACAAGTCCCGATGAAGATATGGTACACCCCAGAGTGTTAAGAGAACTGTGTAACGACTGGGAGATGGATTATGCGAGTCCTACAGTATATTCAAGAAGGGCGATCGTCACTTCACGATTAATTGTAGACCAGTGAGCCTGACCTGCATAGTGTGCAAAATACTAGAGAGCATCGTAAGAGATGCCATGGTGGAACATCTACGAAACAACCTTGTAAAGGAATGCTACCATGCTTTTATTCCCTGAAGATCTTGCATAACACAATTACTCAAGGTACTATATGTTTGGATTCAAATTCTAAAACAAGGCACACATATCAACAATATATACTTAGATTTTGCCAAGGCTTTCGACAGTGTACCCCATGAAAGGCTGAGAATTAAACTGGAAGGATACAGGATTCAGAGAAGTGTCCTAGCACAGATCGGAGACTTTCTGCATGACCGCAAACAGTGCATGGTGATAAATGGTATGAAATCATCATGTGTACCTGTGACGAGCAGAGTACCACCGGACAGTGTATTGAGCCCGTTGTTGTTTGTTGTTTCATTAATGATATACCAGAAGCTATACACTCCTACATACAAATGTTTGCAGACGATGCCAAGTAGTTTGGAGAAATTAAGAACCAAACAGACTCTGTGAAGAGCTGCAGAAAGATCTCTATGAGCTTCAAGAATGGTCGAGGAAATGGCTGCTATAATTCAATGTCACGAAGTGTAAAAGGATGCATCTGAATCGCACCAATAGTAAGGAGGCATATCACATGTCCCAACAGGACGACTTCATTAATTGAGACTGAATGTGAAAAGGACTTTGGTGTGTATGTCGACAATGAACTTAAGTTCTCGGGCCATTCTGAGAAGAAGGTGAATCGGACAACGAAACTAGTAGGTCTTATAAGAAGGTCATTTAGATTTCTGGATGCTCCGTGGCTCGTCACGATCTTCAAGAGTGTGGTGCTTCCCCGTCACCCCGTCTGCTCCCTGAGGTATGCTAGAGATTGTCAATTGATTGAAAATGTCCAAAGAAGGGCCACAAGACTGGTACCTGCTTCACAGAACCTCAGTTACCCAGAGAAGTTGGAGCGCCTGCATCTACCTACCTGATACTACAGACGGGCGAGGAGCGATCTAATCGAAGTGTATAAACATCTGGGGGGCAGGGCGGGGCATGGCATTACTCGGTTGAATGTACATACCTGGAGCTGGTGGACGTCTGCCCCACAAGGGGTCACAGCTCAAAGTTGAAGAAGCCACAAGTCCAGAAAACTGCAAGGGCAAATTTTTTCGGAGTGAGAATTGTGAACTCTTGGAACAACCTGCCAGAAAGCTTTGTGACCAACACTGGAGGAGGTTCAGATATATTTAGGAGCCAGTGCAGGCCCAGTATCTGCCAACAATACGTATCAGAGACGTGACCGACCGCCCAAGCGGCTAACGAGCCGATCAATTGCAAAGAGGTAAAAAGTAAGGAAATAAGCTCTGACATCCACTAATAGCTTCTTCAACTTGAGGCTGTGACCTCTAGTGGACTGCCATCCAATAACTCCAGAGTAGAAGCCATTTATTTGCTTATAAACTTACAGTACAGGGTACTATATAAATTTGCTCCTTGCTCTTGTATACTGTAGATCTCTCTTGGTAAGGGGGTGTCTTTGACTGTTAGCACCTATTTAGTGCCATAGCATAAAATTAATGACAACTAAGCAGGATTAACATTGCAATTTCTTAGTTTAAATTTTGTTATCCAGCTTCTTTTTTTATAACGTTTATCATTTCACCACTTTTCAGCTTACTAGTTGTTCGAGCAGTTGGTCTGTTCTTTGTACTTTGTTATGAACTTTATTGTACAGTGTTAGTTCAGGAGAAAACTGGACTACCTGGAGGAAACCCTTCCTACATCTGTCCAGGCTAGGCCTCAAACCGAAAACATAGTTGTGAGATATACACATGTTACTCCAGTATCACCAACACCTTGTCTTAATATGACATGTATAAATTATATGTAACACTGATAGTTTAGATGTATGAGTTACACAAAACTACCCCTTTAACTACTGTATAACAGAACTGTAATACTGTATGGGATTAAAGAATATTCCATGGTATCTGCTTACACTCCTGTAAATAAGGAAGCAAACAAGGAAATTGAAAAACAATGCAATAATGGTAAGGAAAGATGTGAAAGTAGAAATCAATTACTGTACTTTGCAGACATTTTCTGGTGGTTTTTCTTTGTCATAGGTCACTTGTGAGTCTTCATAGATTATAAAATAACTACCTAATTCCCCATTAGCCGGAATAATTGGCACAGAGCATTTCTGGGATTGAGAGATTTGTGGGTGAGACAAATTTTCTCATCACCGGAAAAAGTCGCAAACCCCCAGATTTTTTACGGATACTGTGGAAAGTTTTCCTTGTCTAAACTACGCATCTCACACAAGCAGACACAGAGCTGTATTTATTTATGCAAACACCACTGTACACATCAATATATTGTAAATAAAAAAATATAATACTGTATACAGTACACCAGCAGAAGCTGTCGTCTTCAGCTTGTGATGCAGGCACGCCAGATGGTGATATGATAAAGGATGGCCTGCCTTTGTCCTGTACCATCTCCTGTAGCAGGTGTTGTTGTCACTCTTCTCTCCTTCCATGAAGGAGGAATTATACATGCACTGTGTACTGTACATACACCCTCTACACACTAGGATACACTTTCCACTCTGCTATGTGCAGTCTGTACTTATGGTACTTTCACACTTACTGAATGTACAGTACCTTATACGTAACTGTAATCACTTTTTATGTCTTAACACTGCTTTAACAGTATTCTTGTGCTGTTTATTTGATGGTACAGTAATATCCAGTACTGCACAACACAGATTTTAAGCAGAAACAGAAAAACATCAGTGAGCAAGTGAACCAGCTTGTACAATGGCAACAGATAATGAACTAAGAGTGGCCTAATGCAAGAGTTAGGAGATAGGGTGTGAGATACACCAGCCAATCATGGGCATCCCATGCAGTCACATGACAGTAATGGCCAATCCTAGCTCACAAGCACATCAAGCCTACCCATCCACTTGCATTGCATGTACAGTATTCTTGCGTCAGAAACATAATGCAATCTACAAAAATTTCGTTCCCATGCCCAGAAAGGAGAAATTTTTCCCAGAATTTCTCGGAATACCAAAAATAAATTCCAGCTATAGGAGAGTTCCGGAAATCGAAGATTCCTGGAAACAGAGAGATTATTTTCGAAAGAGTAACTGATTTGGTTAACAGTACAGTGACCTCTCGTTTAACGAATGCCTCGGTTAACGAAATTTCGGTTAACGAACTGCCTTCCATAAGGATTTTCAATTCGGTTAATGAACAAAAATTCTGTTAACGAATTTCTTACGAACCAACCTCAACATGTTTTCTCTTGCACTGACCGGGCAACCAGCTTTAGTATCAGTCCGCCAATACATTAATCGGTTCTAGGGCTTAAATTCCTTACTATTTTAGTAAATATCAAGAAGTTTATACTATTCAATAATTTTAAAAGTTTAATATTCAATTTTTTAGTCATTTTAACAATTATTGAACATAATTGAAGGTAAAGTGACTCGTTTAATGTGCGGCATCCAGCCTCTTAACGCAGCAAACAGGCGTTAGTCTCTCTCTGTTTTCACTGGAGGTAACATCTTGCTTGACTCTCTCTTCAACTAAACGCTTTTTTTTCTGTGTTTCCAAGCAAATTATTGGTCATTTTGAAATATATATTTACATATTGACAATATATAATGCAGTGCAGTGTTGATTTAAAGAAAATAATCTTGAATTACACCGAAAGCTAAAATTTTATGGGTGAAATGGCGCCATGGGGTGACTTCTCTTCCACCCCAATGCCTTCTCTTCTTCCTTCTCCTCCACCCCCATTCTAAATCCCATCATCATCATCATCATCCAGGAGCCTTCTACATACACACCTCAAAGTAAGTGAACTTTTCTACCATTTTTGTTGAATTTAGGAAATTTTCAGTGAGCTGGAACCAATTACCCAAAAACCCATTGAAACAATGGTTTCGGTTAATGAACTTTTCGGGATAAAGAAAGTTTTTTATTTTTTTATTTACAATTTCTATGTTGATAAAAATCTAACACTTAATATTTTATTATTAGAAATTTAATTTCAATTGTGGTATATATATATATATATATATATATATATATATATATATATATATATATATATATATATATATATATATATATATATATATATATATATATATATATATATATATATATATATATATATAATATATATATATATATATATATATATATATATATATATATATATATATATATATATATATATATATATATATATATATATATGCACATTTAGAATGCTCTGTTTTCTTATTTTGCACATACATATGAACATCAGCAAATATTTTTTCACTAATATCACTACCACAAATAGATTTATAAGTGTCAAAGACAGATATACAGTACTCTAGCATCGTATAATGTTCAGTGTGAATTCATTACTTTTACCTTCTTCACCACTGATCGGCTCGTTAGCCGCTTGGGTGATCGGTCACGTCTCTGTTACGCACTGTTGGCAAGTTCTGGGCATGCACCGGCTCCTGAATGTACCTGAACCTGCTCCAGTGTTGGTCAAGTCTGGTCTTGAAAGAGCTCACACTCGGTGCCGTCTCAACACTTCCTGGCAAATTGTTCCAAGAGTTCACAACTCTCACTCCAAAAAAGTTTGCCCTCACAGTTTTCTGGACCTGCTGCTTCTTCAATCTTGAACTGTGACCCCTTGTGGGGCGAGCGTCCGCCAGCTCCAAGTAAGGACACTCGACTGAGTAGTGCCCCTTGGGATTCTTATACTCCTCAATTAGGTCGCCCCGTGCTCGTCTGTAGTATAAGCTAGGCAAGTTCAGGCGCTCGAATCTCTCAGGTAAGTTGAGGTGCCGAATTGCAGGCACCAGTCTGGTGGCCCTCCTTTGAACATTTTCAGCCAACTGACAGTCCCTAGCATATCTCGGAGACCAGAAGGGGTGACAGTACTCCAGATGGGGAAGCACTTTTCTCTTGAAAATCGTTACGAGGGACGGACCGTCTAGATATCTGAGCGACCTTCTTATAAGACCAAATAATTTATTTACCTGATTTACCGTCATCTCGCAATGGCCCGAGAACTTCAACTCATTGTCAACATACACACCTAGGTCCATCTCACATTGTCTCAAATAGTGCAGTTTCTTCATCCCGTTGGGACATATGATAAGCCTCCTTACCGTTGGTACGCCCCTGGTACATCCTCTTACACTTCGTGACATTGAATCTCAGCAGCCATTTCTTCAACCATTCTTGGAGCTCACAGAGATCCTTCTGCAGCTCTTCACAGTCCGCATGGTTCTTGATTTCCTGAAATAATTTGGCGTCTCGGCAAACATTTGTATGGAGGAGTGTACAACGTCAGGCATGTCATTTATGAACAAACAAACAAACAGCGGCGGCCCAATACATTGCCCTGTGGTAACCCGCTTGTGGCAGGTACAGATGATGATTTCGTGCCATTAATCACCACACACTGTTTGCTGTCATGTAGAAAGTCTTCTTCCCACTCTAGGACATTTCCCCAAATTCCGTATCCTTCCAGTTAGATTTTCAGTCTTTCGTGGGGTACACTGTTGAAAGCCTTGGCAAAATCTAGGTATATATTGTCGATATTACCACCCCGTTCCAGAATTCATGAATTATATTTGTTTTTTCTCATACTGTACTTGTAATGTATACCTTAATGTGATTTAGTAACCGATTCTTATTCTCTCTCAACAGAGTTCGTGAATATCATTGCCAGAAAGCATTAAGATCCACCGGCCACCACAGCGTAACATCGTGTACATAGGGTTTTGTACTTTTGTAGAATTATTTCACCTGATATATTTTGTTAAGACGTCAAATACCCTAACACATGGAAGGCTAACAATGAGAACTGCACGTGGTGCTGCCAGCATGTGTTATCAGTTCCATTTGTTATATGATGTGCCCACTCTTAGAAATATATGAGGGGTACTGGCAAATTGAGTGTTACCAAAAGATTTTTTGTTTCTGTAGCCCGTATCATTGTGAAATTCCCCATTGGAGAAATGACGAGGATGTATGTGCTACTGTTCTCTGATAACCACGATGGTCCATTGTCAGCCTTCTGTATTGAAAATCAAAAGAATCTTTATCACTAATAGACAAACCTTTACCTCCAAGTGTGAAAGAGGAAAAGTTTTGTTTTTACAGAATACAGGAGGAATGAAAGAATAGAATTGTTGACACATAGATACCAATGAAGAGACCAAATTAAGATGAAAATGGTTGAGTTGTGAGGCAAGAGTTTCCTTACGAACATAAGTATGGCAATAGGTAAGTGCAATTACCATTAATGGGTGGTTGTCGCATCTTTTAAAAAATTCCGACTTCATCCATTTTACTTTGACTTCTACAAAAACTGAAAAGGGAGAGATAATACCTTATGTGCTAATTTGTTAAGCTCTAGTGGAAAATACTGTTGAAGTGCATTATATGATTTATATATAAATATATAATGTATATATATATATCAGAGTCCTTATATAATTTTGATTGCAAAATCATATTGTAGAATTCTAGGGCGTGATCATTGTTTTATTGTTGTTATGTATTTAATAAATTAGACAAATATCAGAGTGATATAAATTTTTATAAAAAAAACAGTTGAAGAAAATTATTCACTTTGCTTTTCTTATAGTGAAATCTAATCCAAGAAAGTAATATTTTGTTGATAAGCAATACAAAATTACAGTAAGACGTTACTATTCCAAGGCTTCCAGAGACGGCGCGGCCTTCTAAGCATCCTTGCCCGTCATCACAACCACGCACAAACTCCATGTTGTTTTCAACTCCTGTCACTTCTATAGAAGCACTGAAATCATCGAATCTTGAAATAATAAAAGGAAATGGGGAAAACTTTGACTTTTAAATCAGTACAACTTAATAAAAAAAAAACGCTACTGTTACTAAATGACTGTTTTGAGTGTCCAACACAAACTACCAGATTTACAATTGAAAACATTTAAGGTTATCAATATGTGCATAATATATTCAGTTATATGTGCTATGTGGATAGCACATAGAAGAGATATCAAAGAACTGGTCAAGTTTTGCCCTTCTCTAAAAACTCTTCAAGGTTCGAAACCCACTCTTTAACTTTGGCATACAAGTCACACAAGTCATCACTAAGGGCCTGTTTGATATGGTGACATAATCTGACGTATGCTTACATTCTGGAATTTCCAATAATTTTATGAAGTCTGCAATTATTTTATCAAAAAGGACAGCTTGATCGACAGATTATGTTAAGTGACAGTTCATTCGTCTCAAAATAAATTACTTCATCTTCACTCACCTCTGGTGTGTAATCTCTCAACAGTTCACTCCCCTACTCAGGGTAAAAATATAGTTATTTTATCTCTTCAAGAATACAGATACCTCGAGATTCACGAAACTCTCTCCCTGAACTATTTTTAACTGAAAAATAATCTTGTAAATAATAATGCTGCTGACGTCAGGAGTGTTCACTAGACTCTGACTCAAGAGAGAAGCCAGGATAGGAATCTCTGGTTGATTGTGTTTGTATGATATCCAGCTGGTACTATGACTCCCTCTCTTTTCCTTCCTTACTTGTTTGTGCCCAGGTTCAGTACCCGACACATAACCCATGCCTAGTTTGGTTTTGGCATTCAGCCATTATTACCTGCCAGTTTTAAGTCCCTCCAGCTATATACATTCAGTGCTCTCATTTCATCACTTGGCATAAAACCCATCCGAGCCTATGTTCATTGATTTGATTACATTCAATGGCAGAACTGTCACTTCCCCAATCGTACTTTCGATATCATAACTTCATTAAAACTAAGTTGTTTGAATCGGTGTTCAATATAGATATAAATAGATATATGCGTTCTCTGTTGCTTCATTAAATAAAAATAATAGTTTCTGTGTTGTTGTTCCCAAAAGGTAATGAGCTACTGTATAGCTGAGACATATGAGCTTCTAAGAAAAACTTGCTATGCAGTTGTGCACCGAGAGTATTTTGCTAGCTGTACATCCCATATTACCTATAGAAAAGATGTCCATGGACTTCTTCAATTTTATATTCGATAAATATGTCATAATTTTCTGGCTCCAGATGAGAAGATGGTATCTACATACGAGTGAAAAGTAGTATGGATATTATATGATCTCATTAATCTTGCATCCAGTGTATAATTAATAAAGAAGGTGTTTATGTCTTTGTGCTGTCAAATGCTTAGCTACAATTGTATTTTTGTCCAGAACACAACACCATGTTAGGTGTGTAGCTTTGTGGCAAGTAGATCTGCACTACGAATGAATTATCGAAAATAAGTGGTATTCTATACCCCAATTAACTTTTCAATTTATACATAGTGTAGTTCCCATCATCTCTAAAGCCAAAAAATTATTGTCTAAAAGTGAATGTCACTGGTTATTTATAGGATGCTTACTTGATGGTTACACCAACATGTTGTATTGATGTTATAGAGCATATTATTATTATTATTATTATTATAGTGAGGGAACATTATACTGTACTAATGAGGTTTTGTTTCTCTTTAATTAGTTCTATAAGTTACTCCTGCCTGGTGCAGGGACATCTATATATGCTGAAATTAAACAATTGGATAAGTTTTAAGATAGATGTGATGATGCTGGTACATGAGCTGGAGAAGAAAAAAGTATTATTGAATAACAACAATGACAGTTCATTCTTTAAATGTGGCTCAAACTCCTGCACCCCATCACACATCAGTAGTTGTACTCAAGGCTACCGCAGGTCAGTTCTTTCATTGGTTTGAACAAGCTTTTAGTTTTATCAAGTCCATTGTGTTCTCAGAGATCATGTCTGTGGTATCTGGGAACCCTATTGTTAGACTATATGTTAGGATAGCCTAACATGCCTGCTGTTAGGTGACATCAGAAATTTGTATGGTCTCAGACTCCAGAATTAGAAGCTATAGAAACTAAGCTATTGATTGACTAAGGTGATGTATGATGTTTGTGTTGTCACCACACCACTGTTACTCTGGGCCTGGTTTTGACAGAAATTAACAGTCCTCAGAATAAAACGTCTTCATATTTTGAAGCTTGCTTATTTTCTAATTATATTTTTTAAATTTAAACCATGAAGTACAGTGCCACAGAACAAGCGACGCTAAAAGAAGGTTATCAAGCTGCTCTTCTGCTTGGTATGCTCTAAATCAGCCTGCTGTTCATGTTAAAATTCTAGACTAAGTGGAAAATTAGTAAAGAATGTTAACATGTTTTGTACATAGGTATTAAAATACCAGTGTTGTGCATATTCATATTTCATGGTAATCAGGTCTAGATTAATAGTTTGGGTGTAACAGATAAGTATTTTTGGTGTGGAAGTAAAGTACTGTTGTGAGTAACCCAGTCAGGAATGCCAATGATTAAAGGGTTGCATCTTCGAGAAAAATTTCAAATTTGATTTAAGTCATTAGTAATGCCCTTTGGTTGTGTAAGTTTATAATTCAATCAATCACTGGGTGTGTGTAATGCCAGTTATCTGCTGTGGAATCATCATATGAGTGTTATTCCTCTGAAATATCCAGACTTTTTTTTTACATCAGGACACAGGGTTGTCTTACAAGATAAGTCACCCTTTATACCAGGATAAACACACACTGTTAGTCATGTTTGAGGACACAGAGAAGCCAAGATTCTAGTATGATTACATTTTCAACAATGATGTTAGATGATGTAAGGAGTTATAATAGTTGTATTTTATAGAGTTTAAGAAGCATTCATATAGTTAAATGTCATATGCAATTAAGAGTGTATCTATAAAGCTAAATATAAGCTAGGGCAGTAAACAGAATAGCCAGTTTTACTTCAAATGCCAGTTTTTAGATATCTTTAAAGTGATTTTCTCTTGGAATGTATAATAATCTTAACTTAGGAATCATCATAACTCTTTTTCTGGACTCAACATTATTTTCTGACCTGAAATATATTTTTGTCATAGCATATTTAGTTATCTAAACTGTCCGAATTGTCTTTAATACGTCACAGTGGGAACCATTCTTCTTACAGTTCAAAATTAATAATCTTCATTATAAGTGTAATAGAAATCTATCTTTAAAAAAAAATCATGGGCATCAAAGTGTCACAATTTTGTAGACTTATTTCTTGATAAGTAACTTTGACTAAAAATAGGAAATTGCTTTTTTAACTGAAAATTGCCTTACGACACTTGATGAAAGATTAACCAGAATAGACAACAAATGATATAGGATTTCTGATACGGTATATGTTTAGTTTCAAACAATAATGATAGTTTCAGAGTTCGATAGACAAAAAATAATATATATATATATATATATATATATATATATATATATATATATATATATATATATATATATATATATATATATATATATATATATATATATATATATATATATATATATATATGTATGTATGTATGTATGTATGTATGTATGTATGTATGTATGTATGTATATGTATGTATGTATGTATGTATGTATATATATATATATATGTATATATATATATATATATATATATATATATATATATATATATATATATATATATATATATATATATATATATATATATATATATATATATATATATATATATATATATATATCCGGGAACTGATAGTCCGGCACCTCCTTTAGTCTGGACAAAATTATGAGAGGGCATTTAACTTCCCTCCCTCCCTCCCAGCCAGGGTGAAGGTAGTTTTAGGCTTAGAGTTTTATCTTATAAAATGTAGATGACTAGGCTTAGCAGAATATAAATTGCATTGCTTGAATCCTTGTAAGATAGTGAATAAGTTGAGTTTAAACATCACAAGAGATAGAAATGTTAGTCTAGTGTAGTACATTTGTGTACAAGTTTTTTAACTCATATTTTCGTGAAGATATATGTAAATTTCTTCATTTATTTTTACTCATTTACAAGCACGCACCATCCTAAATATATATTGTGAAAAAGGTAAAAGAAATAATTGTCCAAAGGGTAAACCTGTAAACAGTTAATTACTAAAAATTTTGTCTAGTGCAAACTATATGATGTTTATACTCAAATTAATCACTATCTTAGAAGAATTACAGCAATGTAAATTACTGTGTATACTGCCAAGTCAATTCAGTGACATTTTATAAGAGAAAAAATAAAACTACTGTTTTTATGACTACACACTTTGTTATCTCCTCTCCCTGACAGCTGTCAACACATCAACTCCCCCCCATTCCTCACAGCCAGTGTGAAGGCAGTTTAGGCTTAAAGTTTTTATCTTATGAAATGTCGCAGACTAGACTTAGCATAATATAAATTACATTGCTGGAATCCTTGTAATATAGTGATTAGTTTGAGTATAAACATCACATAGTTTAATTTAAGTTTCTAGCAGTCTATGGTGCTTTAGAGAGACAGGAGGTGTATAATTAGTGGGTCAGAGGTGTATTGTTGGTCCGGCAAAACGGATAATTTGGCCAGGCTTTGGATACAGGGGTGCCGGAAAATCGGTGTATATATATATATATATATATATATATATATATATATATATATATATATATATATATATATATATATATATATATATATATATATATATATATATATATATATATATATATATATATATATATATATATATATATATATATATATATATATATATATATATATATATATATATATATATATATATATATATATATATACAGTTTCAAAGATAAATGTAACTATACAAATGTAGTTAAACCCCATGTGTAGCATGCTATTAAAAGCAACATCACCAGCAATAGAGCTCTGCTTGAACAAGATGATGTGAGCATAAGATGGTTGTCCTGCAAGAACAAGTTAGGGTATATTATGAAGGCAAAGTTAGGGTATGAGTTCTGAGTCCTTTACAGTAACTGTAATCTGCGTCTTGTAATCAACGCCATGTAATTTCCGTCATGTAATCTGCCTGTTGTATCTGATGGATCCATCTAAGAGTAACCAAGATGGTGAAGTCATTGTGGTGTAGTCAGGGTAATGGATAGGTGAGTGTGTCCATTTCTAGGGCCAGGTTAGTACTAGCAGAGGATTGAAACCTTTGCTGCGTGAGCCACTACCACGGGCATCACCAGTTGCCACACATCCTCTCTGGTTCCATACCTCCACTACTGCATTCTTTAACCCTATGTCTCTCTTTAAAGATTTAATTTTATAAACTACGCTGTCTTAACATACTGTATTCGTTTTGCCATTTTAACCTTGTAAGCTGAAGAGTCCATATCAAGCTGGTGTCAAGTGAGCTATTCTTAGAGGTGCAGTATTTTATTCGAGGATAATGTTCTTATTTTAGAATCCTTATTGTTTTTATTCTAAAATCATAGGCAATATTACTGTAATAAGTATTGCTAACTTGAAATTTACAGGTTCAAATAGATCACAAACAAAGATAAAGTAAAGTAAAGAACAGAGGCTTTTTTTTTCATAAAATCCTACACGAGAAATTTCTTATAATACCTGTGAACAAGAATGTTGTGTTAGCAATATATTCCAATATTTTACTGTTAGTACACAACTGTTTTTATTTCGATTATATTTCTTTGAGTTGAACAATAAAATAGATAAAAGGACTTGTGGTATTATATGCTGTTTTGTGCTAAATATTCAAAATTTCAAAGAAATCAACAAGTTACCATCTTACCAGTAATATCTTGTGGGATATGTTTAATTTCTTAGCCCATAGTGGTGTTGCCCACCCTTCCTTGTGCCACCAGACTTGACCCTCTCTGCTACCTCTACTATCCTACTCTAATTATTGGGAAGTAGTCATTTGATGCCTATGTATTATTAATAGGCAGCTAATGGCAGCAGCAGCAGCAGCTAGTTGGTAGCCACCAAGGAGCCTAACTAGGCTTGTTGGCTTCCTTGGGAGTATTCCACATGGCTTCATTATCCTGATGCTTGCATAGAAGACTCCCAATGTATTGCTAAACATATGTACTGTACTATGAAGCAGTGTACTACATAGCCACAATATACTGTATTATATATCATAAATGTACAGCATATGTAATTTTTGTATTCGACTACACTCGGAGTATACAGACAGGTATGGACATACCTCACGTAAACAAGGAGCCATCCGAAAAGTATTATTTGCACATCGCAAATTAGCTGATTTAGTGTTACTGTGTACAGAGCTCTACATTCCGTGTTAATCATAGTTTTGACTAGAACAGTGTTGAAGAGCTTAATGAAGGTCAGCCACACTTAAAGCAGAGATTAAAGAGACCCCAAGTCAACATTAGATACTAAGATATTTTATATCCATCACTTAATAATGACCACTATGTGTCAATTAACATTCTTTAGGTCACAAATTTATTTTGTGACCTCATTTGAGTAAATGAGCTCTGCCATAGTAGCTGTAGTATTGTAGTTGCTATTAGCCTCGTGTTCTGTATCTTGTGAGTTTCGGCATCATTATATCTCCAACAGGAACAATATCTCAGATAATTTCTTGCACTAAATAATATTAGACTCTTAGAGATTTTTGGTAGCCATAGACATGATTTGTGTTTCTTTTCTTTTTTCTAATGGGAAATAAATGAGTTTTAATAATACCTGTATATTCACTGTTAGCGGTAAATAGTATGACAAAATTAGTATATATCAATGCATATATGAATTACTTTCATGTTGGAATAATTTCAAATGAATCACAGTGTCTGAAACAAATCTGAAAACAGTTTACAAATATAACTTAGTGCTTAATTTTATAGTACAGTACTGTATACAACTTAACATCATCTGTGCTTGCACTGTAGTACATTAATGCAATGTTCTACTGTATATGCAGCATATTATTACAACACTTAACAATTATTGTGCATTAGCATACATACAAACCACTTGAATTATATTTACCAAACTGTTATGGGAAATAAGGTGTTTACCAATGCAGTACCTGTCGCACCACAAGCGTGCCATGTTAATCCTCCTGCCAAACTTGCACGCCCACACCTGATATGATGATGCCGACGACTCTTTCATTGTAGCATGAATTAATGGCTAGATTTTCTTGAGCTGATATAATTCAAATTTTCAGGTGATTGACAATTTAATTATATTTTATAACTTGTGGATATATACTGTAACATTGTACATTATATAATATTTTTGAGAAGTAGACCTTAAATATTGTAAGTATTTCGTAATATTGGGAGAATTTTACACATTCTTTACTCTCTTGATATAACTCAAAACTCAACTATAAAAATAACTTCTAAGCTCAGTGGATCTAGCCAAAAATTTTCCCTGGTTTGACTGGTAGTATACAGTTGGAGGGGGGGAAGCTCCCCTTACAGTTCCATTCCCTCTTACTCCTCTTGCGGCCACCCACAACACCCTCGACCAAGGTGATACTCATCACCCTTCCCTTAATAACACAATTAATTAGATCATTATACGGTACTGTATACCCAGAAGCAGCAGAGGTAATGTGTACTTGACCTCTATAATGCAACCAGCTGCATCTACTGTATTGTCATCACCTTTACAGCTTTAAATGCTGTATGAAGTATTTTAAACTTATAGCCAAAGAATAGGACATTAATATAGCTCATCTTACCAGGTCAGCACTGGCCCCATGAAACAGGTCAATGCAGATCATTCAGATAGCAAAATGTGGGTTAGTGTGGGCCAAATTGTCAGAAAAACAGACCCATATGGGACACCTTCCCATGAAATTGTGACAGTATGGGCTATGATGCTAGTGTAGGCCACCTGGTTAGTGAGATAGGTTGCTATGGAACACTTGTCCAGTGAGACGAGCTGGTGTGTATCACATAAACAGATGCACCAGTGTGAGCCATCTGTCTGTTAAGACAGTCAATTGTGAAGCATTTGGTAAAAAAAAAAAAGTTGGCCAACTTGCTTGAGGTAAATATCAGCCATTGAGCTAGTGTGGTGGGCTAGTGTGAACCACCTGGCCAGTGAGGTAGGTTGGGGTAGGTCAACTCCCCCTTTGAGAAGTTAATCATGTACACATTGTATCATATTAAACTGTTGCAAATCTTTTTCTTCTGCAGATAGATCGGTGCCAATATATTTGTGCAAAAAGTGTCAAAAGATATTTTCAAGGTCTACATTATTAAAGAATCTGTCATATATCACAATCTGCTAATAAGAAAAAATCCTTTCTATGAAAGGAACATTGTACCTATATTTCACCTGAACATCATAATGAATATCATATCATTTAATACTTACCCCAAATATGCTACACAGGAACATCTGTGCAATGGCCGTACTGCACTATAATATCAATATATCACTGTAATACGACCTTACCACATTGTACCATGCAGCTGAAAATAAAAGATCTAGGGAACAGAATGTTTTGATTTATTCCCACAGATTTTATTACCTGAGTTGACATAAGTAGTATATATTATCATATATGGTTTGGAGGAAAATACTCTGAATTCATAACCTCCTTCAGATAGACAAACACTTTCTTAATCAAACAAACACATACAGGTATATCATTTGTTACTGCTCGTCTAATGACACAAAAATAGGAAAATGTTCCTTCAACTGTACAAATGTCACGTATGTCCCAGTCTGGATCACAGTACGAAATTATACAGACATGGAAACCTTACCTCTAGAAAGACTTAACATCCTAAGGAAAGTTGCAACACAGAGCGACTAATATGATTACGGAACATTATCATCTCGATTATTCAAGTAGACTGAGGGGCTCAGGGCTAAAACTTCTCTAAACAAGGTACAATGGGGCAAATCTTGATGAAACATTTAAAATCCTGTAAGGGACTGAAAAATGTGAACTTGGGCCTTTTCTTTGTGATGTCACGCACCACCGACACAAAGAAACATACTGTAGCTACAAGCTCTCCAAGTTATCATGCAGGAAATACAGTACTACTTTATACCCAGCATGGTAGACCTATGGAAAGGTCTACCAGCCCAAACTGTCGAATCAAGAACAGTACCGGGCTTCAAAATAGCCCTTGAAAAAAATATCAATAACAATGGAGGGATCCTACACAGACCACTGGCCTTCTTCCCTCGGGTTGACCACCTCTAGTGACTGGCCATTAGGTGGGTAAATAAGGCAGGTACACACAATCAAAAAAGTATTTGTGCACATTTCGCACGAAACAATCTGACACCACCGACAATGGATATTGCAAAATGCTTGTGACATTTCCTATTTTATCTCTAATAAGTACATGAAAAAAAAATATTAATCTTGTAAACAATGTGTAGCGTGGTTCATGCGTGTAGTTACGTGGTAACCTCGATCGAGGTAAGTTTACAACAACTTAGCTCTCGGGGATTAACCAGACAATGTACCCTGTCTAATGCTACCTGGTAACAACTCGGTGCCTCTCTAAAGGCTGAGCTTGTGAAGGTTTGACTGAAGGAAGCGACTGCGAGGCTGAAGGAGGAAGATGTAAGACTGGGAGTCTGTGAAAAATGCTGACTTTGCGTCGCGGTAAAAAGCCTTTGAGTTTGACTTGACCTCATTAGGAATCTGCCTCTGGAACATTTTTTAGCCCTTCTACACTCTGACTTTGCTTTGTTCCTGGATCTGGCATACACCCTCCTGTCCTGCTCATCATTTGTCCTTACCTCTGTCTCGAAATCTTGAGTTTTCTTGTTAACTTTGCCGTCCGCCAGATGGTTCATGTGTAGCGGTCTCCTTGTATTCTTGGAAGTACTAAGTTTGATCTTAGGTATATATTTATCGATCGAATGGTTTACTTTACTGGCTATGGTATTCAGTGTAGCATCAGCGTTCTTATTCCTTAGTAGGTCAGGCCAGTGTATACTCCCCATCTCGTCCCTCATCCCATCGTAATTTCCTTTGTAATATTTGAACCTGGACCTGGTTTTGTCATGAACCAAGTCACAGTTAAATCTGAAGGACAGCGTTACGTGGTGACTGGTGCCAACTGGGGTTAGGTGTTCCAAATTGGCCACCATACCCTCCTCGTTAGTTATGATGAGGTCCAGCGGTTTGCTTGCTTGCTTCCCTCTGTAGTGAGTCGGATCTTTAACATATTGGAATAGAAGACTGTCACTCAGAGTTTTTACGAAAAGAGTTTGGCGTGGATTCATTTCTCCAGTCGATGTTGCCATAAATAAATTCCCCCATGACAAGGAGATGGCTAGGGTTCTGCACCATTACATTGTCAATTAAGGTTCTTAAGTTTCTCTGGTTTAATACACTACAGTTTGGGGATCTGAAGATCCATTCAATAATGAGTAAGTCTCTCCCGTTCAGTTTAATTTTACACCACTTTGATTCTTCGAAAACACCCTCTCCCAGCACCCTCACCTGGCTGGCTCTAAGGTCTTCCCTAGCATAGATAACCACACCCCTCTTGCAAATTTCTTGGGAAGGATTCGTAAATAAGTTATATCCAACTATATTGAACTTACATTCCTCTGGTTCGATTCTCCTGTTTTTGTACAACAGTTCTACAGCACCTACTATCTCCTTCTCCTATTACCCACTCCTCTTTCATTACTTCTAGGAATCGTTGTAGGGCTATTCTTCGTAGGGCAAAGGAAGGAATACAAGCTCCACCCCTTAAGATCTCACTAGTGAGTGAAGATAAGAAATGGGAAGTTATTCAGCATGCAAAAAACTAAGCAATGAACGTTACATTTCGGGGTATATTCATAAACCCAGATCGCACGGTAATCTAGAGGGAAGAGTACAAAAACTCCTGGAGTCCTTAAAGCAGAATAGGTAGGAGTCGATGACTCCCAAGATATGCTATTGCTCGGGACTGTCAGTTGATTGAAAATGTCCAAAGGAGGGCCACCAGACTTGTGCCTGCATTGCGGCATCTCAGCTACCCTGAGAGATTAGAGTGTGGGGAACAGGTTGTTTGGTTCACACTCAGGATGGGATGGAGAAAGGAAACTCACAATGTGCTCTCTGTATACATGCTGTATTGGATGTACAATGCAGCTTGGTGCTGGGAAGGCAGCATGGTTACAAGCGTGATGTAGAGAGAGCTGGTTGGTGAGGGTGCTCAGAGGAGGACAGCTTGTGGGTCGCCATGCTCGCCGGCGGGAGGGAGGGCCGCCAGGCAGCGGCGGAGGAGGTGGTGTAGCTTGCTGCGGCTGTAGCTAGAAGAAGAGCGGTCACCACGAGGTTAGGTCTTTTATAGCGGAGGTAGGCGTGGGTAGATAGTTGACCCCTGCTCCGTGGGCGGCGCTGGTCGACCTAGACCACGAGGCATACACTGGGGAATTCGCGGGATCGGCTACTCAGCGACAAACATCGTTTGTAGGGGAGAAATCCACTACAATACTCCCTCCTTCCCTCCAGGCGGTGTAGGAGACTTGTTGTCTGCAGGGTTGCATGGCACATGTGAGGCAGAACGGCGGTGCATGCCACATGTGAGCCATAACGGCGATGGCGTGGATGAGCCAGCCGCTAGTGGAGGCAACTGTCTAGACACACAAGATCTGTGGGAGAAGAGAGGGTTGTGGAGGTGATGAATGTTGTGTTTTCCTCGCGACAGGTACAGAGTCCTCAGATGCGCCTGCTGGGGTGTGTGGGCCTGGGTCAGGAGCAGGGGCTGCGTCAGCAGAAGCGGATGAGGGCTCGTGACCGCAGCTGGGTCCACGACAGCAGCAGGGTGCAGGACAGTAGCAAGGAGTACCTGAGGGAGAAAAGAGGGGTGTGTGGGTCCACACTCAGGCGCGTGGGCCGCGTCGGGAGCAGGGGCTGCATCAGGAGAAGCGGCAGGGGGTACTGCTGGGCCGGGGGCGGCATCTGAGGCAGGACGGGTGTGTTGGGGTCGGTAGGACGTGGTGCTTGGGGCAGGAATAGGAGCGGCTGTCTGCTTAGAGTAGCAGAGCTGCTCTAGGGTGTCTAACCTGCGGTTTAGAGACAGTAGCTGTAGAGCCCATGAGAGCTGCTTCTGGGTGGATAAGCCAGTCTTCCATGTTGCTTGAAGACTGGGAGAGTGATCTGTTTCTCCTCCATCCTGTGTGAGTGCGAATCTCCGGGGGTCACGATTTGTGGGGTATGGGATGTTTGGTTCACACTCAGGATGGGAAGGAGAAAGGAAACTCACAATGTGCTCTCTGTATACATGTTGTATTGGATGTACAATGCAGCTTGGTGCTGGGAAGTGGCAGCGTGGTTACAAGCGTGATGTAGAGAGAGCTGGTTGGTGAGGGTGCTCAGAGGAGGACAGCTTGTGGGTCGCCATGCTCGCCGACGGGAGCGAGGGCCGCCAGGCAGCGGCGGAGGAGGTGGTGTAGCTTGCTGCGGCTGTAGCTAGAAGAAGAGCGGTCACCACGAGGTCAGGTCTTTTATAGCGGAGGTAGGCGTGGGTAGATAGTTGACCCCTGCTCCGTGGGCGGCGCTGGTTGACCTAGACCACGAGGCATACACTGGGGAATTCGCGGGATCGGCTACTCAGCGACAAACAGCGTTTGTAGGGGAGAAATCCACTAGAGCGCCTAAAATTGCCTAGCTTATACTACAGACGGGCAAGGAGGGATCTAATTGAGGTGTATAAACATCTCAAAGAGCACTACTCAGTCGAGTGCCCTTACCTGGAGCTGGCGGACGCTCGCCCCACAAGGGGCCAAAGCTCAAGGCTGAAGAAGCCGCAAGCCCAGAAAACTGTGAGGGGTAACTTTTTCGGAGTGAGAGTTGTGAACTCTAGTAACAATCTGCCAGAGAGTGTGAGCTCTTTCAAGACCAGACTTGACAAGAACTGGAGCAGGTTCAGATACATCCAGGAGCCAGTGTATGCCCAGTACTTGCTAACAGTGTGTAACACAGTCGTGCCCGATCGTCCAAGCGGCTAACGAGCCGATCAATGTGAAGAGGATAAAAGTAAAAAGTAAAAGTTGCCTGGTGCTGACTGTAGATTATTTGTATAATAAGTACGTTTGACATTTCTAACTGCTTGTGTACTCTTTCGGACACTTCGGTAAGCAACATCGAAAGTTATGGATCTTTTTGCAAATTTCTCTATAGTTTGTGTTTTTCTTTTATCATTTCCCTGATTTTACTTGTGATATCGGGCTTGGAGACAGACATACTTTTTACTAAATTAGTCTGGAGGGGGAAGCAGTTATCAAAGCAAGCACTGAAAATGCAAGGAAAGTTGCAGCAGATCACATATTGTAGCATTATTTCAATTAGAAACAAGAAAAGCGAATGAGTAATAATAATAATATTAAATTATCCTTATTTTTCTTATCTTTATTACTATCATTATTAATCTATGTTTAAGTCCGTATATGTTGCAGTTCCTCATATAGTGTTAGGTGTGTAGTCCAGCAGGAGTGAACCACAACAACACATGAAGGGTCTCTGGTGACTACCTCCTACCACAAGACTTGTGTCTATAGTTTGACAACAGTTAGTATATATATTTAAGAAAAGGTTGTTTGCTCATATTGTTTATGAAGTTGTTCTCTTAAACAAGTATACTTATTTACTTAGTACTATGTTGTAATGGATTGAGGGCGCTGGAAAAAAAAGTGAATAAATCAATTTGGTAAAGGTGGAGGGGATGGTTTTCACCAGAAGGAACTTATGGAATTGCACCAAAATTTCTGGAGGTGTTGTTTGCATGACACTATCAAGAACAGTCATGGGGTGTACGACGCCATTTACGATGACCTTCTTGCCCTGATCTTTTTTCAGCAATATCGCCTTTAACACATGGAACTCTGCACTTTTCGAAACTTTGGAAGAGTCTCGAAGCAAGTTTCCTGGTGGGAATTATTAGCTAGTACTGTACTCAAAATATCGATACTTTGAGATCTTTCCAGAGCTTCAAAAAGGTGGTATAACTGAAACAAGATCAGGGCAAGAAGGTCATCGTACACCCCATGACTGTTCTTGAATACAGTTAGGTCGATAAGGCAGTGGATATTTTGCCGTGACCGATAAGTTCCTACTAACGCCATTTTACCGTGAGTGTGCTCTGATGGCTAATTGTCCATTACCGGTGAACAACGCGAGAACTATATTTGACCGTCACGGCATTTATTTTGCTGTAAGTCGATCGTTGTGTAGATGTAAACATACCTAACCTTATTTCTGTTGTGCATGGAAACTTATTATTATAAAAGCAGTGACATTTACTAGAACATAATAAACCTGACCTAACCAACCAAAGAAACCTACCTAACCTTACCTAACTTCCTAGCCTGGGAGTGGATCCCTCTTCATATTAAACAGAGTACTTAGTCAGTCAAAGCGCACTTTTGGTAAAATAACATTAGTAGGAACTTAGCCGGTCACGGCAAAATATCCACTACTTAAGGTAATGAAAATGACAATGCACAAAACCTGACTTAACCTACATTTATATTACTTACTATCATCCAAACGACATCTCTGAGAAAAATTAACCAATTTTATAAATGATAAAGTATCGTTTTGCTCATGCACCTATTTTGTGAAGGTCAGAATCAATCAAAACATTAAAAGTCACCCGAGAAACATAATTTCAACCTAACCTAAATTTGCTGCATGACTGAAACGATAATAATGCCTTATAAATTTCTTCTGGTGATAACCATCTCCACATTTGCCGTTTATAGTACATATTGACAAGCCTGGATTCACTCCCTTATATCTTATGAGCGGTTCAGTACAATGGTTGCGAGGAGATTTGACGCTGCCATATTTATGGTAAATAATTTTGTAATTATTGACCTAACCTAACCTAACCCATTGTATTTAGCTGCAGCATCCCACTGGTGGTACAGTACTTTTAAAAGGTCTGCTTGCCATCAAGTAAGCTTTCTTCTTTCCTCCTCACTCTGTAAGAGTACATTAATATATAACTTATAATTTATTTTATTTTATCTTTTCAAATTTTTTCTTCACACTTATTGTTTGTGAATGTGAATGGATTGGCTAACTGAAGTTATTCAGGTTAATCTACTTGGAGCTCATATAAGGTTACATTTTTTCCTCTAACCATACATTACAATACTCTGTGCTTTAAGAGGAAGAAAAAGGTTATATTGAATTTGATATTTTCCAGATATAAAAATGGGGGACTACTATGATAAATCTTATGAGATCCAGTGTCCTGTGTGTAGAGGCACAAAGTATCGGAATCCACAGATGAAACTGATGGTCAATGTGTGTGGACATCCTCTGTGTGATTCGTGTGTACGAATGTATTTTATAAAAGGTAAGAAATTAATTGTTTTTCCTAATTAGGGAACAGTTTTAAATACAGTAGACCCTTGCCATTCGCGGGTTTGCGATTCGCAGTAAGCAGATGGTGGCTAGTTTGCAGGCCTTTTCCTGCAGCACAACGATTCACCCGACACAGCCTCTTGTGTTGTACTCTCAAAAGTTTAGTGTTTCTGTATGAAATGGCCCCTAAAAGACGGCTTAGTGTCAGTGCTAATGGAGTGAAATGTAAAAGACAGAAGTCAGTGATGACCCTGACAAAGAAAGTTTTATTATTAGATAAGTTAAAAGAGGGGATGTATTCTTTCATGGCTGGTCAGTTGTTTGGTATAGGTATACAGTAGTGCACAAAGGTAGTATAAGTTGCTATTCGTGGTTTTCCAATTCGCTCCATTTCTTGGAACCTATCCCTCACGAATGGCAAGGGTCTACTCTATTATCACTGAATGTGCTTTACCCTATATTATTTTCTCACAACATTTATATAAGTTTACTTACATTACTTATGGTTAGAAATATTTTGATTTAAATATAATTTATCATTAAAAGCTGTTAAGCAAATCTCAATCCACTAGTTTTATAATTTTCTCTCTTCACCCTCTTTCACGACGATGTTTTCTATCACTTAGCAATGTAGACTAACACACCGTTACAAGCATTTTCCTCCTTTTCATGTTTTTATTCTATCAATGAATGATATTATCAAACTAAAGCACAGTTCTAGTAAAATAATACATAAAATTAACAATAATATAACAAATTGTTAAGAAAAATTGTCAATCAGTCATGTTGCTGTTCTTGAACCTTCTATTCACTAACCCCTTAATTCCCATTGATTCGGTGGTTACTATAATGCAAAGTTCTTCAGGAACACAACTACCATGTTATAGGAAAACTGAATGTGCTCTACAGTTAAAAGAAATTTCTTATCCTCAAACCGGGATCTCTCTCAGATAATACATTATTAATCTACTGTATCATAATCAGAGTTGTAAAAAGTACGGTACAGTACTGGACTGTGTTACCAAGTAAAAGTGCTGTTACATTGGCAAAATGTTACTCAGGTTGAAGTAAAGTACCCAAAGATTAATGTACTCAAGTAGAAGTAAAAGTATTCAAAGATCAATGTACTCAAGTAGAAGTAAAAAATATCTCATTCATAAAGTATTCAGGTACTGAAAATAAAAAGTAACAAAAAATTTATTAACTTGCAAATATTAAAATAAATCCATAGTAAAAAAAAAGAAGATAACTAAAGATAAAAATAAGACACATAGCATTACACATGTTTATTTTTTGAGATTAATCAATAACTGATTCTCAAAATTATGGCTGTCCAATCAGGATTTCTTAGGCCCAGATATAAGCCCAGCATGACCTACCGATAGAGAATGCGTTTAGCCGCTCTTCCTACAATTGATTGCAGGGATTTTTTTTTTTTTTCTTTTTTAAGGGATTAGCCCACCCGGAGACAGGTTACTAACCCACATCAGGGCCTGGAGGGCGAAAATGTAATAATAATACCTGTAATAATGATAATAATAATAATACAGTAATAATAATAATAATAAATAATAGTCATAATAATTCATAATAAATAAAATTTATGATAAAACAAACAAAAATAAAATAATGATGATAATAATACAGTAACTGTAATAATAATAATAATTTTAATAATAAAGAACTGTAAATACAAAATGAAAAAAAGATTAAAAGTGAGAAACGATATATGTATGTTGTGTTGTCAATGGTAAGAGAAACAATTGAGACCCTGCAATTGTGTGTAAATGAGGCAGAAAATCAGATCAGCAACCTGGGACTTGGTCACAATTTTCGTGATGCCATATGGCAGCAGGGTCTATCATTAGACAACACATTATGCTTCCAATATCTTCCCAGGCAGTAGTACCTCCCTGTTTGGTAGCTGCCTACTACCTAGTGAACGGGCTGGAAATATATCCATCCAACACTATGATCACTTTCTTCCTTATCCACACAAGTATCGTTAACATGACTTAAGGTCCACAGACATAATGTTGTCTCTGCTCGCATTAGGTTAGGATACAGACCTATCTGGCAAGTATCTGAGGCGAAGAATGACCCGCGTGGGGTAATGAAACTAGGGTTCCCAAGTTTGGTTTGCTTTTCCTGTCATACCAGATCCCCTTGAGATTCATCCAAATTGAGTGTTTTGATGCCTAATCTTTTAGCATTCAGTACAGCAAAATATTTTAATTTTATTTTAAGATAAACAGTAATTACCCAAATACCTTACCTTTATACAGTACAGTAAAACTGAAGTGTAGATCTTTTTTTTTTTTTACGTTGGATAGGTAATAATTCAGTCATACAGGGCAGTGAAATTATCACTGCCCACCTCTAAGTTTATCCATTAATTTATTTAGGGTTAATACAAAATCATTTTCATCCATTACCAAATGGGATTTTCATTAACAAATTGCTGCCGTAGGCATCATCTAGAAGTATTCACCAGCATCTCACCTTGTGTCGTTACGCTGAGGAAGTTGTATAACCGTTTATTTCTACTTGCGTGACATAGTTATATATACTCGTCTTATACCCAATTCACATCTGCATTCTAAAATATGTATTCCCCAATACATTTGTCACTTTATAAACCAATTTGCATTATTAAAACATGCATTATAGGAGAACTGACTGTACTTTAGCTTTGGTATACAGTACTGTATGAGCAAAAACCCAGGAGTTACAATTTTGTACAGTATTTTTAGTAGCATTGGGAGCAGCTGAAATGCTGACATAGGCATGTGAGGGTGATGCATCCAGAACTAGGACAGTGTTTACAGTTATTTAACCCTTAAATGACATTGAGATTTTTATTTAGACTATTTATGTTAGCAGGGAAAGATAAGGATGTAAAAAAATGCATAAAATTATAAAATTTCTTAAGAAAAAGACAAGAAATGAGAATGGTAAGGTGGATGTGTAATGTGACACTGAAAGACAGAGCTACTGGTAAGAGAGCGGTTGGGTCTTGAGAGTATTGGTGAGGTCTTGGTTAAAAGTAGAGTGAAGTGATGCAAGCATGTGTAGAGAATGGTGGAGATAAATTGGGTCAGGAGATGCATGAGAATGTGGAGAGGAAGAGAGCCATGGTTAGTTCAAGAATTATATGGGGAAAGATTGTAAGAAGTAACCTCAGATATAAGAAGCTGATAACAGAGACTGCAGGAGATTGAGTGGCATGGTGAGCTGCCATCCTGGTAATCGTGGCTAACCCACACAAGCATGGAAAATGGCTGTAAAACAGTACTGATGAATGCAAAGCATCCACAGTCATTATTTAAAGGGAATTTTTTGCCTTTTTCTTCCTCTGATTTAATGGAAAATATCTATGATTTATGCAAATGAAGTGGCATAATCACTTTGGAGTAGGTTATTAAGATGTATGTGATGGTATGTCAGAGCTTTTCTGTCATGCCCATTTGAATATTGAATATCAGAGCAATGCTTTTTCTCAAGAAATGGTATCATATTCTGTTTTTAGATTAATCCTTTTATTGGATTCATTTCCTTGGGATTTGTTTGCAATAGACTAAAAAAAAAATTCTTCTGGATATTGGCTATTCATTGGCAGTACAATACTGTAATTTCATGGACAAGTTCTTATACTTTATTAGAAAAAAAAGGTTAGATGAATAATTCAATAGACCGTGCAGCTGCCATCAGGCAAACATAGCTAACCCACACAAGTGTGGAAAATGGCAGTGATGATAATGAATGGATGTAGGGTAATTTTAGGCCTGTTGTTACTCCAACTGGAGTTTTTCTTGTTTTTGACTGGCATGTATGTCTGTGCTTTAATAATATGAAGGTTTTTAGGCACTTAATATCAATTAATCTGTGCACTCAATAAAAACTATTAAATATTAAGAAAGGTATATTTTCCTCAGGAAATTGTTGGTTGCAGAATGGAGACCTTGTGGATTCCCTTCTCTATACCCTGTATACAGTAATATGGTATGCTATATCACTGGTTCATGAGTGGGGGGATGATTTCAACTTAATCTTCTCCATTGAAGATATGTACCTATGTTAAATTTTGATCATTGTAGTGTAGTGTATGAATGGATTTGGTTTGCATGCTTTAAGACCTAACTTACTGAACCACAGAATTGTTTAAGAGGAGCTGGAATTCCATGGATCATCTGTTAAATAATCCAGAACAAGATCTTTAAACTGTCTGGAAATTGAAACGTGGCCATGAGAGCCATTAACATGGCCAACTGTTCCATGAGCACACATCTGTCTCATCCTTGGAAATTTCATAGCATTTCTTAATCATCTTTGTCTATCTAGCTTTTGATTATGAGAGCTGCCTGCCTTTGGGGTATAACTGAAAATGATTGATCCTGTTTTCTTGTGAAACCCTTAGCCAAGCAGCTCAGATACCCTCCTTTTTTGTGCAAATGATCAGTCAATTGGATCTGAAGTATATGGGATACGGTATACAGGGAGTCCCCGACTTACGAATGCCCCCTGATACGAACCGGGTTAAACTTTAAATTTACAGTATTTTGTCATTCTATTTCTTCTTTTCTCTTAAGTAATTTTAGATGTATATAAGGACTTAGGCTATGATACAGTGGGATTTTAAACATTGTTCTGTAAGTACGGTATGCACATAGTATGTGTTCCGACTTGCGTACAAATCCGACTTAAGAACGTCCTCAGGAACAGAACCTGTTCGTAACCCTGAGACCCCCTGTATAGGTCCTGAATTTTAACTGATGGAGGTATGCCTTGGCATGGAGTGTGCCGATAGGATGGACTTAGCTCACTTAAGATAGGTCTATAAGTTCCCAGAAGACATAAGTCACCCTAAGTAATAGGGCAATGTGGTGAGGAAGGAGAGGTGATTAGTATACCCAAGGGCTTGATAAATCACACAGGCTTGCATAAATGGAGAAGGGATGGTATATCCTAGTTCCCTTTGTATTATGTGAGCCAGAGGCTACAGGCTCTACTAGAAAACAGGATTTCAGAATTAATTGTTAATTTTTGTTGTACGTGTGACCGTCAAACCCAAGGCCCACGATAGACAGTGTCCGTTATATTGGGGGTTTACTGTATGGCAACTAATTTTATTAATGTATGGTAATTATGGTTTTACAGTGTACATTTATAATGATTAAATTTTTATTACAGAATCTGGACAATGTCCAGAATGTGACATTGTGCTCAAACGATCAAAGTTTCGAGTCCAGGTGTTTGAAGATCCATTAGTAGAGAAAGAGATTGATATAAGAAGAAAGGTATGTTTTAGGTAGATGTTATAATGTTTTGTATTTATGCTTTAGTGTTTGTGATATACAGCACGGCCGGATCCAGACCTCAAATTTGACTGATGCAAATTTCAATTTTTGTAGTTGCAGCTAGCCCAGATTTAAAAAGAGTCAATGAAATTTTTTAACTTCATTCCACAGCTCCGTATTTTTAATCTAGTCAATCACAACATTTGTGAGAAGTAGAGTTAATGAATAATTATTGTTTGATTATTAGATAGCCCAATACCTTGATTACCTATATATTTTTTTATTAAGAAGATATTCATTATTGTTTTTACATAGCTTTTGAAATTGTTATTGGTCAAATTAAACCACGGATTTTAGGTAATTTAAGCTACCCATACTTGTTCTCTCATGAGAACGAGTGTGTGGAAGCAAAACTTGACTTAGCAAGGGAAGAAAATTTAACCTGACCCAGGGAAGAAACTGTATGGTTGTTGAGAACCTCTGGTTTTCCGAGACTCAGTTTCAAGGGTCTGTACAGTCCCTGACTTGGTACAATTAAAATAGATTTTTGTCGTTTGGATGTGATAACACAATCTTGTACAATTTCTTTTTAATTTTTATATAAAAATTTAATTTTGCATTGCCTTTTCTTGGAACATCACTGTTTTTAGTTAATAGATGGCTTCAATTTTAATGCAAAAAAAACAAAAAATATTATGTAGGAATGGCATATCTATTATTGAATTACTTGTGACACTTTTACCTTTTCTTGTATCTTAGGTAATGAAGATTTATAACATGAATGAAGAGGATTTCCTGACTGTGGAAGAATGGAACAAGTATCTGGAGGAAATAGAAGAAATTGTATATAATATAACGAATGACATAAATCGTACCGAGATGGAAAAGAAAATCGAAAATTACGAACGGCTTCACAAAAATGATATTAGAAAAAATTACACAAAAAGGTAAGATATAGAAATGGAGTATTGATCTAGAAATCCCCCTTTTTTTAACCATGCCTGGACTAGGAGAATTGTTTATTATACCCACTAATTCTAGAGGAAACCCTCAAATATTAGTGACTTAGATTAATTTGTGAATAAGTGATAGTGATGAATCTTTAAGAATAACAGTCCCCAAATCTATATTTTTCAAATGAAATTCCCAGTACATAGAACAATACAACATCATTCCATAATGCATGATAATTCTCAGTCCCACTCTCACCTTATGTTGAGGTTCTACAATACAGGTAATAATTATCAGCTAGGTAGAACACGGGTGCTCAAGGTATGAAGCAGCAACTCTTACAACAAAATGCAGGCTATTTAATCAATTAACCATGATTTTCAACTAAATATATTCATCTGAAAAATTTCTGATGAGGACTTACCAAACAGACTTTTAACAGTATAAGTTCCTCTTGGGTAGGAATCAGTGATTATTTGCCACTACATTATTATTAATAGCTGGTGTTATATACCAGGTCTCATTCCCCAATGTCCCATAATCATAATTGAGGATTAAAACCTGAAATCCTATTAGATGGCTGAAAATGTGCCCTCATTCCTTCCAATTGTAGTATGCAAAGAGTGCCCATCATTACTAAGTAACCCTATTTTCTTTGGTTGATGACTGAATGATAAGGAATTATTGAGAGCTTCAGGTCATAATCTCTTGAGTCACGAGTCAACAAAGGCAGCTGCTTAATCCAATTTCTTGAACTATGTATACTGTACTGTATGACAATTTATTTTAACATTCCCATGGAAGGTTTTTCAGAAAAGATAGTTTTTATCAGAATTGTTCTTTAAACCAGTTATTGTGTGATTAGGCTAGAACCTTGTCAGTGATCCCCATGTAAACAGCTGTTTAAATAAAAAATCTCAGGATACCTTTAGAGGTTGCAAGTGTAGTAGGATGAGTAGCTGTTGTTAAAGAACTAGCAATAATTTGTGGAATAATGCTTCTGCCACTGTTTATTATACCATTATAAATTAAGCCATTAAAAATCTCAGGTACAGGTTTTTTAGTTCTACAATTGATGGTTGAGGGAATGAGCAAGAAATCTTACTTCCTAATTTTCTTTCTGTGAAATCTTAAATGAAAATGGGTTGGAATCTCTCCACATTGTCTAAGAGGGTTCAAGCAAATGAAATGTTATCAAGAGTGACCAGAACTTCCTATTGGTCCTCTAGATACTTAACAGTTATACCTCTTGAAGGTCTCTTGCTTGTTTCCGTGGCCATAAAATGGGATTTCATACATCAGTTAATTACTTCTAATAACATAAAATATGGGAGTATCAATAGATATTCATAATCAGGGGGTTATATATATATCTTCAACTTTCCAGGAGTCGTGAGCAGGAGGAGTTAGAAAGACACTTGGATGCTGAAGTATTGAGGGGATTAGAAAGACAGAAAGCACAACGAGAGGAGGAGTTACGATCAAAATTATCCCGTGAACGAAACAAGACTTCTCTTATAAAAGTACAGTACAGTAATACCATTTCCAAGTGATACAAAATGTATATTAGTTATTATGTGTCTAAAATTACTAACTATTCACACAAATTTAAATAAATTCAAAACTGCTTTGATAACATGACTCCAATTTCACATGTTTGTGGAACTGATTGGATCCTCAGTTCAGATCCACACAGCCAAACCATCTTTATGTATTATTTTTTAATCTGCTGTAGCTATAAGCACTCATCCAAATCTTTAGCTTTTCCTTATCAATATCCCTGCCTGTCTTCTACATTTCACTGTCTCTTATCTTCTCCCATTTGCTAACACAGTACTACATCAACCTTAAGTTGGGTTATAGAAGAAAAAAATATTCACCTGTTCATGTTGCATGAGGGTACAGTACTGTATATGTGGTAAGTGTAAATATTTTATTTGATTAAAAATGTCATTGATGTCTTGTAAATTCTTATAAACTTGTCATGCTTTAGAAATTCAGTGTCTTTGTTATGTAATTCAAGGCATTTTTACTCTAAAATTAGAGTCTAGTTACTGCTTTCCCAGTAGAAATACCAGCAGGTGTGAAATTGTAACATTATTATAACTTACCAGTCAATTATTTGCTTTAGGACTTGATGGCCTCTGAGGGAGATGCATCTCTTATTGTACAATCCCATGCTGAGCGCCTCAAAGAAGAACAGCAGCGAGAAAATCAGAAGAAGAAAGAACTGGAGTTAGCCCTTGCTCAGACCACTCTTAAGGTTAAAGAGTTCTCCTCTGGAGTCAAGATAGGTTTTGCAGGGATGGGTATTGCTCCTGTTCAGCTCATAAAGGTAAGGATAATTAAAATAGTTTTTACTCAAAATTCATAACACTATTTGCAGTTGAAATGTCAAGTTCATAGACAATTAAGTGCATGTTATTTCTAGCTCCATATATCAAGCTTTTATGGCCACATGTCAGAACACCACCTGATAGAGGCTACTTTGTTTTGGAGGTTATCTGTGCAAGGGTATATAAAGAATCACTTACCCATACAAATCAATGTTTCTGAAGCACCATTCAACCCTTGCTTAGTGGTTGCATCAAAAGGCAGAAAGTCAAGAGGTAAATTGGTAAAATCTCTAAACCAGCCCTTTTTATGTAGATACTCCTGACATAAACCAGGGAACCAGATCAAAACCTTCACATTTACGTACAGCACCCACAAGCAGTTGTTACAGCTCAGCATTCCTCGTGGATATTATAATAATAAGTGGAGTTTCATGTTGTTGGCAGTGGAGGTTTTCACTTCACAGTCATTTATTCACAGTTACAATAGATCCTCACTATATACACTGGATGCATTCCTTGATTAAATGTTTGCATAAGGGAATTTCCATAAAGCAAATAATAGATTAAATGTGAAAAATAGAGATGCTCTGCAATATCACTGCATCCACAAGAAAATGCTTCATGAACCAGTCTTCATATACTTGACCAGTCACCCATGCTCTCTTGTTAGCATCCTAATGCACAGGTAGCAAGTTCTTGCTGACTCCTATTAGCACTCGAATGGTGCATGGACTGGTAGACAACAGCATCTTCACAGTGAAATTGGCCACAGGTTTGCCAAGTAGTAGGAACATGTGTCTCTCCTTGGCTGCTTTAAATCTGGATGCCAGTTGCTTTCATCAGCATTAAATACTTGCTAAAGGCTAAACCCCTCTGTCTAGAACTCTAGATCAAAGCTTGCACCTCTTCAAGGAACTTAGAAGCAACCACGAGGTTGGCACTAGTCTGCTTTCCACAAACATTTGAGGTTTTGAAGGTTTTAATAATAATAATGATAATAATTAACGGTTTATTGAAAAAGTTCTGCAGCCCGAAGGCTGAAAATATACATTGGACATAAATGACTTATTACATACATTGTTGGTTTAACAAAAGCTTTCATTAGAGAAAGGAAAAGGAACAAACAGTGAACATACAGATTAATGTTTTCAGTGGAGGTCATGTAGATTATGTGCGCTGAGGTGTTGAACAGCAGACAAGTAGTGCAGTAACTCCCTCACAGATGGTGTTATGAGGGGCATCACGTGGTGTAGTAATTCCTTCACAGTTGGTGTTATGAGGGGCTTGACATGGTGTAGTAATTCCCTCACAGGTGGTGTTATGAGGGGCATCACGTGGTGTAGTAATTCCCTCACAGATGGTGTTATGAGGGACCTGACGTGGTGTAGTAATTCCCTCACAGTTGGTGTTATGAGGGGCTTAACGTGGTGTAGTAATTCCCTCACAGGTGGTGTTATGAGGGGCGTCACGTGGTGTAGTAATTCCCTCACAGATGGCGTTATGAGGGACCTGACGTGGTGTACAGTGAACCCTCACTTTATGCGGTTAATTCAACCCACGGCGGCCCGCGTAAAGTGAGAAACGCGTAAAGTGAACAACATAACATATGGGATTTATTGAAATAGAGACCTGGCCGACCCCCAAACTCCACTTTTTCAGACACAATACCTACGTTGTAGTAAAAATAACTTCTTAATTTTATGATGGTATGCACACACAATTAATAATTAAGAGAAATATCAATAATATTAGGTTTTTTAACTCTTACATTAGTAGAAAAGATGGCTGGGCACACGGGGATGAGGGGTTGGTTCCGAGGCAGAGGGCAGATTATTGGCCCTCACCTGTATCACTTGTATCAATTGTATCACTATCCACCACAGAGGCTTGCAGGGCCTCTTTGTCAAACCCCTCAAAGTCCATATAAGTCCATATCCTCACTCTCATTATCACTATCGCTGTGGTGGGTGGCGGGTGAAGAACTCGGTAATGTTTTGATGACTGGGCGACCTTGTGCGCACCCCGCTCGCGCCACTCTCCGCGTAAAGGGGGTACACGCGCCGCGGAAAGTGAGCATTCCGGTTTCGGCAGGGTACCGCGTAAACGTGGAAACGTGTAATGTGGGACCGCGTAAAGCGAGAGTTGACTGTAGTAATTCCCTCACAGATGGTGTTATGAGGGGCATCATGTACGTGGTGTAGTAATTCCCTCACAGATGGTGTTGTGAGGGGCCTTCTCTGTTGCTCCATCCTCTTCACTAACGTGCTTGTAGACCAGGGGTGTCAAACTCATGGCCCGTGGGCCAAATGTGGTCCTTGGGATGGTCAGGTGTGGCCCGCGGGATGACAGTAAAATTTATCTGCCCGTGAAATTATGATAGAAATAGATATGAAGGAAAAAATGCAGATATGAATGAGTCAGTAATTTCCAAAATGGTCTTGACATCATTGTAGCAATAATTGAATTTATATTGTTAATTTATATTGCTAGTAATAACACTGTTGTAAAGGGAAAATGCTTATAAATCGAAATTATTAAAGAAATAAAAAATGAAGCCTCAGCCATTACTGGCATCTGAACAAAGGCAGTAGCCAAACGTTGCAATACTAGGCTAAACAGATGAGAACTGGTGTGCGTTGTTGGACCCTCTCCGCTTCTTTGGAGAAATCGTGAGTTATACTTCGCTTTTTACTCACTCAGTTATCTATACCTATGACTAAGTATATGTAGAATTGATGTGCAGTCAATCCTTTGAAATGAAATTATATATAAGATTTGTAGGGAAACTTTGTACACATGACGGTTGCGTCAAACCCGCTAACCACCGCCTTGCGCTAGGCTTCGCCAGTGTATGGGTTCAGTCCAGGTTCATATTTTGTTTCTTTTTCCCTCCTTTCTTTTTTTTTTGCACATTATAAAACATTTATCTACCTATCTACCAGTTTCTTTATTAATCTCAGACAAACCCAAATGAGGTATTCCTGGTAAGCCAGGTAAGGCATGTGTGAATCTGTAAACTTCAATCCTGCAAATATGATAGTGTATAACACTTGTGTTGGCTCTGAAGAGGGTAACTAAAATAAGAATTGGCCCTCGAAAGGCTTTGAGTTTGACACCGCTGTTGTAGACCTTCTGTTCCTTATTCTTGACCGGAGCATTGCTAAGGCTCATTTTCCTTTTATTTTAGTCTTCCGTCCAAACTCCAAGTATCTATTTCATCTTTTTTCCAGCCAGATTCTTACCTGTTTTAATAATCAGTGCAGAAAGGGGTGTTGAATAGCTAATGTAATTTCAAACCTTCTCAGCACTGTTCTTACATTAAGAACAGTGCACTTTCCCAGGTTAAATGTTCGGCCAGTAACCAAATGCCTTAAAATGTCTAATTTCAGTCATACTTTACTTTACTTTATCCCCTTCCCCACTGATCAGCCTGTTAGCTGCTTGGGTGGTCATTCATGTCTCTGTTACACACTGTTGGCAAGTACTGGGCATGTACTGGTTCCAGAATGTATCTGTACTTGCACCAGTGTTGGTCAAGTCTGGTCTTGAATGAGTTCACACTCAGTGCCATTACAATACTCTCTGGCAGATTGTTCTCACTCTGAAATAGTTTGTCCCGACAATTTTCTGAACTTGTAGATTCTTCAACCTTAACTTGTGACCTCTCGTGGGATGGGCATCCACCAGTGCTTCCAGGTATGAAGACTCAACTCTGAAATGTCCTCTGAGGTGTTTATAAACTTCTATTAAGTCACCCCTTGCTTACCTACAGTATAAGCTTGGGGTAACTGAGGTGCCATAGTGCAGGCACCATTCTGATGGCCCTCCTTTGGATGTTTTCACTAACTGACAATGAAAATCTCTAGCAAATTTTGGGTACCAGACAGGGTGACAGGACTTCACATGGGGAAGCACCTTACTTTTGAAGAGTTTTATGAAGCATGAGCTATCATGGTAACTGAATGTCTTCGTATGAGACCCACTGGCTTAATTGCTTGATTCACTTTATGGACGAGTTGATGGTCGGATTTTTTTTGTAAGATGGCAGGTCAATGGGTAAATAAAACACTTAAATTCACTTTGGTAATGATATTTTAAAATAAATTAGGCAAAAAAAAAAATACGGATTAAAGTTGCTAAAAATTCGCATGACTGTGAAAAGCTCTGTGATTGGTTGTGACGTCACTGGTTGGCGCAAGCTGCCCAGCCAGCTGTGGTGTATGTGTTGTTACCAGCAGAAAATTAATACAGGACTTGTGGCCATATACAATGTTGTTATATACGTACAGGCATACCTTATTTTTAGGTTAAAATAAATTATTGCTGAAGTATCATCGTGTGTATTTACTTGCTGGTGCCAAAAATGATGCAAAAGACCAATAACTCCAACATGGAAGTTTTCATCACTGTTCTCTATTTCATGTCTGGAAAATGTAAGTTTTTGTCACTGATGTCTATATTTAATGTTTTGGAAGAACTAGGGATGACCATGGCCAGGGAATGGGCTTGAGATGACAGATGTAATTTGACGTGCTTCAAAGCTGGATGGTCGAGTTCTTGATAATGCTCTACTATCATAAAGACATCTACTTTTGGTAAATTTCATTCATCTGCCTTGATGAACCCTGGAAGTAGTTGTCCAACCTTCTTGGCTCTGTAAATAAATATTACTGTATTAGATAATGAATTGTGCTTTACTGTGCAACACAGTAATGCTATATTGATTTAAATATTACTAAGCACATTAACTAATTCAATGAATATTAGCTGCCCCTACTACAAATTTCATTGTATAAACATTCCAAACAATATTGATATTATTTTGGTTTTGGTCATCTGGGGAACCTTAAGATTCTAACTATGGGATTAAGTACTTTAAACAATAAGACAAATTATCTATACGGGATTTATGTCGCAAAACATTTTTCGATTTCTTAAGAAAATACAGGTCATATGTTAGGTTAGGTTATGATGAGTTATAAGGTTAGCTCAACATGCA